CAATGGTATTCACTTTTATGAGAATTTACAGCAAGAAAACGTCTTTGGTAAAATTAAAAATTATTATATTTTCACAGAACATTGATACAATATTTCTGTAACTGTGACCTACAGTTCTGCATCTGTAATTGTACAGAAACAATTCTGTAACTGTTCCTGGCCACAAAAGTCGGTTATGGTCCAGGAGGGAGGTCATGGGGGTTTAAGGCTCCACAATTTCTTGACCAACGTATTTAGTTATACTTGTTCATAAAAATAAGCATTTATTTGCAGCAAAACATTAGAAACGCCAAAGAATATAAGAAGGATTTATTTAAACCGATTCTCAAGTATTTTTAAAATTCAACATGTGAATTTCAGTTTAATAAATTGTTAACTTATTTTAATAGTTATTACTTTCTTTTCTAAATTATTAAGCTCTGTAATTAATTTTGAAGTCTTTCAGTGAACCAATTTAAAAACTTTTCTTTCTCATATTTAACAGTTTCATTCAGTGATTTTTCTAATAAGCCCATTTTTTTTAATATACTATGCATGGAAGAAAAATTTCGAGAAAATAAATTTCAAACTAACACTACGAAACTGAATTGAAAAATATTAAACTTAAGCTCATTTTAATTAGATTTTCGAAGTATTAAAGCGCACCACACTTGACAAAATGCTTCTAAAGTGGTAAAATATGTTAATATTTGTCATTTATCATTAAAAATGTGTTTTTTTATTGCTTTAAGGGCTTTGAAAGTGATTTCAAAGACTTGTAACGAAGAGCTAATATCGGTTAAATTTATACGAGTAATGATAAACTCGAGAGTATGGTGACAGTAAAATGTTAAAGGGCAAGATTTAATGAGTTTTATGTTTTTAAAGTAAGTTTCAATATTAGAAAAATTTAAAGTTCTTAAAAAATTGATATTACTCATATTTTTTAATTTTAAAACAATACACATTCAATTACTTTTAAATTGTAACAAATGTGCCTATAATCGTATATGGCATTTTATTTTTCTGACATGCTGCCAATAATGATATCTGAAATGCTTTATCCAAAAAATTTAGCAAAAATTTCCAATTTTTTATTCATATTCGTCATCATTGTACATTTTGTAAACCTTATATATACATTGATAATTATAATTTCTCTTATTCAAGTGAGTTTTTTTGTTCTTTCATGATTTATTAGTAGTATATTTTAAGAAGCTCGCATTTTGTTTAAAAAAATTTATCCACTATTTCGAGAGATTCGGTGTAAAAGATACGATTTGATTTGCAAGGTATAATATTTTTTAGATTATTTAAAAAATGTATTTATGTAATTATTTATGTATGTAAAATATGAAAAATGTAAGCAAGTAGGAAATTTGAGCAAAATTGGTCGAACAGTTCCTGAGAAATCAAATTTAGAAAAGTCTTATTTGAAATTCAATTTCTCAGTAACTATTCGACCAGTTTTGCTCTTAGAGTCTGATTTCGTAACTTTAAATAGCGTGTGTGCTAGTCAATTAGAATATTTGAAGTCACCCTCTTGTACCATTAGGATTGAATCCTGAAACGCGAACATCCGATTATTAGATCAAAAGTTATTCAGATTGAACCATTTATTTTTTCGCACTGCACATTTAATCAACCAATTGGAAAAAATATGTAGACAATGCATACTATTTTTGTTGAAAAAGGTTCATCTTAAACAGCTTTGTTTTCTAGATATTTTTTACAAGCTGGATATTATTCAAGAGAAATATTTCTGAAAAATATACACATTTCAAGTAATTTGAAGAAATTTCAGAGAAGAATTGGCTATAACGTTATATTTAAAAAAATTCTGAAATCAATTTTAAACCTGAAATTATGCATAAAGGAACCTCATCTAGTAGTTCATTCCTACCACAACACGCTTAAAGTAAAAGAGAAAAAAAAGGGAAAGAAAAAAAAAACTCTTCGAATCGTATCACCAAGGTATTCAAGGTTGTTCTTTAATTTACAGTTTGTTCTCGAACTTGAAATCTCATCTAAAAGAAACTATCAGAAACATTTGCCAGACAGTTTTTTTCATTTTTGTTTTGCTACAAAAGACTGAGTCATTTGTCAAATGTTACTATATTTATATTGGAAGACGATGACTTCAAATTTGATTTTGTCCGTATTGCTGTAGGTATAGTAAGTTAAATTAATGAGAATTTAAGACTTTTAAAGAAATAAAGTCTTAAGTTTATCCGAGAAAATAAGTTTCAAAGTAAAACTATCGCTTTTAAATTTTTAGGTAAGTAAAATGTTATAGAGAATCTGAAGCAAATTAAAACAGTTTGCTTAAGAATCGAACTAAGGTAGTTGTGGAATTATTAAAGGGCAAAATTAGTTTGTCTTCAAAATAATTTTTAGTTAAAATACTGTTTTTGACTTTTGCTTATAAAGAATAAATTTTTCACCGTATTTATGATATTTTTGATGCGATAAATTTGAATAAATCAAATTCTTTTCGTAATTCTTAATCCAAACTCATTAGATTTGTATTTTCCCTACAAAGTAAAAATAAAAACGTAGGATTATGGTACACAATAATAATTTCATTGTTATAATATTTCTCTTCATTTTTCTCAACAATCTTATTGCATTTCTCCATCCATAAAAGTAATTAAAAATAACTGCAAACTTTTTTGAAACCTAGAGTCTTTTTAGATTTTACTTCTTTTTTAGAATCCATGCTTTTTTCCTCTGTCTGCATTTTTTCTAAGGTTTCGGTGCATATTTGCCTCCATTTTTGCTGTTGAGGCAAATAAAAAAAATTCAGCGCTCTTAGTCACACTTTTTTATTTACTTTTTAACTGTTATAGTTTTATTTATTTCTTACTGGTTGTTAACTGACTGCACATATTTTTACGCACATTATCATTAAATCTCTTCATTGCAAAAATATTTCGTTTAAGAAACAAATTTTTAGTAATATATTTGCTCGAATTCTTTCAAACAATTGTCATATATAATATTTTGCACAATAACTATGATTTCATACTTAAAAATGTCTTTAGTTTTTTTTAACACCGAAAATTGTAGCCACTATATAACAAAATTTTTTACAGTGTAACGGTGCGTATTGAATCTTAAGAGTATTAGATGTTACTCGAATCATTGATGAGCATATATATATATCACTTCTGCAATTTTTCAAAATAACCAATTCCAAAATGTGACTATTTCCTAAAATTTCTATACATTCTACAAAATTACTTTCCTACATTAACTTAAAAGCCACGCACTTTGTTCGTTGACTAATCTCTTCAATAACAAATATTTTTTTGTAACTCTTATTTTATAGTTACTAGAATTACTAATGATAATCTATTACTTTTGCAATTTTTCAACATAACTACTACAAAAATCAATGGAGGAGGGATATTTCATAATTATTTTATTTTGACTAATCATCACTAGTCTTTAAAATACTAAGTATTGATGTTCGTTCGATTTAATTAAGAGGGTTCAAGACACAAAAATTTTGAGACTTTGTAATTTGTTTTATATTAAAAACAAGGTTTTTAATTCAATGCTATATGCTTCAAAATTGTGAAAAAAAATTATGTTATTTTCTAAATTAGTACGTGAAATCAGTCTGTTCTTTTTTTTTCTAGTCACAATGCTAAAGTTTTGACTGCTTTTCGCCTCCATGATTAGCTTTCTTCGGTTTTTCAACTTTAAAAATGATGTATCTTAAAAACTAAAACTAAAATTTGGACTATGTATACTTTAGATATTTTACTCTAGTTTTCATTAAGAAATTTAAAAATGTATATTAAATTTTAATAAATTATTTTTTTGAAATAATAATAAAAATAATAATTTAAAATTAGAAATTTATAAAGGAGACTTTAAAGTTCAATAATAGAAGACTCTGAATGTAAGTGTAAGTGATTTTATAAATATAAATGAAAGCTTATAATATTAAAGTATCAAAAATCAAAAACATCACCGTTTCAAAGTTTTGAAAATTTATTTTTTAATCATGAATCTCAAATTTTATTGCTTATTAAATGGTACAGCAGTAAAACACGTGAACATATTTTGTAAACTTATTAAACAGTGCAAAAGGTAAAAGTATATATGCATTTTTTTGTATTGTTCCCCCTTAATATCAGTGTTTATGTAAAAAATCGACGTGTCAAGTATTTTCCTTAAAATATATCTTAGATTTATATATCGTAATATATTTTGGTTATGAGTAGGAATAACACTATGTTTAATACCTTATTTATATTGAACAATAATTATTTTATTTTGAAAAATAAAAATATAATATTTGTTAATCTAACTTAATTTAATACCTTTGATAATAGTCTAGCAGTTTTTACATCATATTTAAAAATCAGATGTGACACCTCTACTTCTGAAAATGTTCCTATAATGTGTTCTGTACAGATATTTCTTATATTATTTTTGGCTAAAACCAGTAAAATCCCAATGCTTAATATCTGAATTATATTAAACAATACTTATTTCATTGTGACTAATACTGTTCTGATCGATCGGTATTTGGTACTTAACTAAAATTGTTATATTTGTTAAACTTCTTCGGATTATATCTTTGTGAACCTAGTGAAAAATCGATGTCAATAATCAATTTCTTAAAATATCAGAGAATATTTTAATTAATACAACTAAAAGCTCAATTCTTTACATTAAATAATAAATATTTAATTTCTAATAAGCGTTCTTAGTCTTAAACAAAAATTTTATTTTGTTTTTTAATGTCATCAGTTTAATATCTTTCTCAACTTAAGTGAAAAATCGATGTGACAAATCTATTGCTTAGAATATTCTTAAAATGTGTCTTAGACATCTCATCATTTCTCCGAATATTTTTATTTAAAGCTAATACTACCTCAATGATTAATGTCTAATTTATGAATGTCGCGAAAGAAAATGTCCCCTTTTTCCACTCTGTCGCTAGTTTTAAACTAAAAGTTTGAAGTAGATCTTTATACTGAGTGGCGCTAAAATCTCTTTTTCAGGCGAACGACAAAGAAGAAGTGAGCAAAATGGAGGCCACCACACGACTTTATCGATCCCGTTTTCTAATGCTAGCTCTATTCGTTTGTTACTCTATGTCCAATGCTTTCCAATGGATTCAATACTCTATCATTAGTAACATACTAACAGAATATTATGGAGTGTCTGAATTAGCTATTAGTTGGACATCCATGATCTACATGGCACTATATATCCCACTCATCCTTCCCGCCAACTGGATCGTGGAGAGAAAAGGTCTCCGTTTTGCTATTCTCATTGGCTCATTTGGTACCTGCTTAGGTAAGATTTACTTTATTTCTACTTTCTATCCAATCCAATTTCAACCGCAATTTACTTTCAAAAATAAACTCACCGGTAAGCGTTGAGGCTTGATAAAAGTAGATCATATTTTCACCTCATTAAATTTGTTTGTATATTCTTTTAAAAGACAAAATTTCTGTTTTTTGGTTTTGGATTACAAATCGTGTAAAGTATATAAAGTTGTATTTTTTATCAAATGTTCATAATTTTACTGTATTTCAATGATATTATATAAAAATATTTTATGTATAAACTACGAAATAATTCGTATTTTACAACTGCTATATTATACACACAAAAAAAACAGGAAAACTACCGTACTATATCATAAATTTTTTTAAATTATCCTTACATTTGAAATTTCGAAGCAGAAATAGATAATTTTAACACTCTTAAAAACCTTTTATGTTCTATGTTTGACAGCAGTTAATTTTGATAATATTTTATGCTTTTGTATTAAATATAAACGCATTTTCTTTCATCTATACTTTTGGGTATTCAGTACAGTTCTTTAGAAATTAAGCAGTCAATTGGGTAATTTCATTGATTCTCCGAAAATAGATATAATAGAGGAAAAACTGTGTATATGCTTGAAACCAGCACATTAAATAAAATCATTTAAATGTTTTAGTTATACTGAAAAACTATGAAAGTTTCATATTTCATAACTTACCTATAATAACTATCTTAAAATAATGTTGGTAAAAATTTAAAACCAGACCATCAAATAAAAGCAAACCAAATTATCATGTCAAATTCAAATGAAAAGTCTTTTTTTTTTTTAAAATTAGTATAACTAAAAATCATTTCTTACGCAATTATTCTAAGATAAATCTCCAATTAAAAACTGAAATGTTTGAATATATTTTGGGAAAAAGGTATTGTGTCCATTACAAATAATGTTATAAGTTTTAGTTCACATTATTTTTTAAATACTATGTTTACGTCTTTGAAATAAACCATAGAAATTTTTGAAGAAAAAAAAATGGGGGAAACTTAAGTAAAAGGGCAATTTATTATGTAAAAAAACAAAATTTTTATTTGTTTTTAATGACATTTACTACCAAAAAATTTCAGGGAATCATATTACTTAACAAAATGTTTTTCTCTGATAAATATATTAATTGATTTCATGCATCACGTGTGAGACAAAAGGGTTAAATCATTTACATAATTTGCAACTTTTACGTAATTTACAAATTTTTAATGTTAAGACCAATTTTTTAAAATGTTTTTTTTTTTAAATTTTATTCCCCAATTAACTTGCTACTTACAAACTTAATATTAGCCAATATTTGGTGGTTCAGAATAAAGGCCATTTGGTGATTCATTCTTCTGTGAGTCATCCCGTGACTCATTCACGGGTACAAAGAATACTGTTACGCAAGAATACTAAGTTTACTCAAGTACAATAAATACGTAATAAAAATGATGTAATTCAGTAGGTTAAATACAAAACTCATACACAAAAAAGTTCTTCATTTTATTTAAATATTTGATTTTTTACTGTTATTTCCTTAAAAGAGTTCATCTTTTTGAAATATAGTTTACACACCACCGATAATTTCCAGTGAAGTTTCCTTCTCTTATGATTGCTTCAAGGTTCATCTGATTCTTTTTACGTCAGAGATAGTTTTTGGCCCCATTTAGTTTTGTAGCCTTGAATGTATATGATAGTATGTTCTTTAATTTCAGTTTTGCATTTTACATTTTGAACTAATGTAAATTTTATATCAAACTGAATTAACATTTTTGTTCTCAATAATAGATAATAATAATTGTTTTTCTCATTTAAGTGTTTTAATACCTAAAAAATATTAAGGGTAGTTTTTCTGAAATTTTTATTAAAATTTTTTATAATGTTTAAAAATTTTTTTAGTGACATCTACGTTCGTTAACCATTATTAAGCTATAAAGTATTTTTAGATTGCTTTTAAATGAAAGTGCGAAAATATTCACTTTCCATTTGGCGTTACACAAAAATATATGTGTTATAATCTTTATGCCTCGTTAAAAAGACATTTTTATAGCTATCCATACTTTTTTATTGTTTCTTAAGTTCGGAAAAGTTAGAAGCGGTTTTTATATGTATATTACGGCAGAAAATAAATAACACTTGAAAGCTCAAAGTGTAGCACAAATTTTGATACTAAATCTTTAGATACAGATAGTGTTTTTAAATGATATTTTTTGGACTTGATTTATTTACAAAAAAGTTTTTTCTGGTTTATAAAAGAGAAATGCACGAAAAATTTTAGTTGTGAATAGGAAGATCGTGCGTACCACTGCAAGAATTTTAGAAGCTGATCACTGCAAAAATCAATCAATTCCTTAAAATACCAATTTTTAAATGTGATGAAATAATGCTCATGGATTTTTTTAAAATTCAATTTACAATATATACTCATTGTCTATATTCCCATTGCAATATATGGCCATTGCTTTTTTTAATTAAACTTACAATATATTAATATTGCAAAATGCATAAATACTGATGTAACTTTCACCTAACCGTACATGACATTATATAAGAACTTGCCTAAAAGTAATCGTGAGTTGTGTTACAATTTTTATGTGCACTGTAAAAAACTTCGGATCAAAGTACGGTAAAAAGTACCAGTACTCAGTGTGCCGTTACTTTTTACCGTAAAATCCATTTTTACCAGAACATGTTACGGAGCATAAAATCTGGTATACCGTAATTAATTTCAGCGATTTAATTAACAATGATAATTACCTAAAATCACTGAATGATTCTAATTAAATATTACTGTAAAAATTATGGTATAATATTTCAGGGTAAAAATGGAATTCATGGTAAAATTGATTTTATGGGCCCAAAGTGCCGGTTCTTCATACCATATTTTGATCCGAACTTTTTTCTAGTATGTTTGATTTAGTTAATCAATTTGGCTTGTGAAAAAAAGGAAATAAAGTCAAACTCAGTGTTCAAGTTTCTAAAATTTTCATTCAAAACGAAGTTAAATATAGAGTGTTTTTATAACATTTTTTTCACAAAAATGAATAATGTTTCAATGTATTATTTGAGATTAACACATCAGGATTAGAAATGTGTTCGTAGTCAGTGTATTTTCTGTATCAGATTTTCTCTAAGTTTAAATTAAAAATATTTAACCCCTTCCGTAATTCTTTCACCTTTTGTTTAAACAAGTCTTTCAAAACCTTCCAGACTTTTCTAACCTTCAGTAAGTAATGTCATTTGCATTTAGCTCAGTATAGCCAATTCCAGTTCTTCTGTCATCAATTCTACACTCAATCCACTCTTCGTTTCTTCACTCACAGAATTTTCTCGTGCATAAAATATTCTAAAATATTATTAGTTCTGATTGTAAAAAAGAATTTGCAGGAATAAACTGTACAAGAAATTAAAAATGAGCATATGCTGACAACAAGAAACTTGAATAAAATGGCATTGAATGTTGCACTTTTGGCTTTAAAAATAAAAATTAAAAAAATCTGAAAATTATCCTTACTTTTTCGTTGATCTAATCTTGTTATCTATTTTATTTCTGTTCCAGCACTATGCATCTAGCACTATAAGGGGTTAGATATAATAGCGATCTATTTCTAGTGCTATAAAATCTAATCTCTTATGACTGGAAAAGTGAAATTTATTTCTAGAAAAGTGAAATTTATTTCTTATCATTCTGAATCTAGGTTTTATTATAGTTCTCTATCTCTTAAAGCTTTTTCTCTTGAACAAAAGCCAGTTTTTAAGAAGGAATAATGAAGAATGAAAACTCATTTGAACACCTGGAAAAGATTTTTATAACTCTAATTTAAATAACATTTAAAAAATGTTATTGGTATAAAAATTACTTTCTGCATTACACTAATCTTAGCCCTCATTTTTTTTTAATCCTTCAATTTTTAAAATTGTCGGATACAAACCACTGATAAGACATTACAAAAATTTTCTTAAGAAAAGTTTTATTTCTGACTTAATGAAAATATCTAATTTTGATGTACGTTTCTAAAACCGCTAAATAGATTTTTTGAAAACTGAATCGATAAAATGTGCAACATAAAAACCAAAAAAATAATTTTTTTATGTTGCACATTTTAAAGCGTTTCGTTTTCTTTAATATAAACGCTTTTTTTAATTTGTTCTCACAATTAATTGAATGACATAAGGTTCAAATTTTAATTTATGAAGCCAAATTTTCCAAACTTTCAAAACCCATTGCGTGCAATTTAGCGTAAGAAATAAAAAAAAAAGATTTTGGAAGCTGATTTATTGTTTTCATAGCAAAAATTTCAACAGTAGGAACAAATATCAGCGGACAGTATCATGATGATTTTTTAAACTTTCTAGGTTTAAATTTTTTAGCTGATCTTTAGTATGCGATAATATTTTATAAATGAAATAATTGTGTGTAATAACCATTTAAATATGAAATAATTATATAACATTGTATGAATAAAATATCATTATCTTAAACACAAATTATGACTGTTTAGGACCAAAATATTTCAATAAACAAAAATATTTCAGTTACTTAAAGTGTTTTAAATAATTTGAATAATGTGTGTTGACAATGTAACATACAATGTAACATGAGTAAAAACCTCTGATTTACATTAAGTACTAATTGTTTATAAATAATGCTTCCGTGAAAGATATTATTTAAAGATAGTTTAAGAAAATGCAAAAAAATTAACATATTTTCTTATTTTCTTAAAAAAAATGCAAAAAATTAACGTATTTTCTTATTTTATTTAAAAAATTCGAAGAATTAACATATTTTCTTATTTTATTAAAAAAATGCAAAAAATTAACATATTATTTTATTAAAAAAATGCAGAAAACTAAAAAACATATTATACACAAGTTTTAAGTTGAAATTTTTATTTTTTTATGAGTAAAAAACATTTAATTTACCATCAGTTTACTATCCCGAGTTATCTCGGGCAAATGAAAAAAGCTAAATATTTATTTGCTAAAATAAATATTTGCAATATATACATACCCGAGTTAACTCGGGATAATCGGGGAAGTGTGTAAAGAAACTTCAAAAATCAGAACATTCTTTTGATAATTTGATCCTTATGAGGCCTGAATACACAAATTTGTAATTTTTTTCCGAACTCGACAGATTAAAAAAAACTGTTCAACCATATTTACCACAAAGTGCAAATACCCTTTTTAACACAGAAAATTTATAAGCTACTTCTTAAATTTCGTAATAACGTGAACACGAACGAAACTGCAGTTAGTCTAACTGCATACAGCTCACGATTCATTTAAAATGCCAACATCTGGCAATATTATGGCACAATTCTAAACTGATTTCAAAATGTATAATTCAATTGACTTATTTTAATGAATTTATTCTGTAATCAATTTAATTGTAAGTTATTAACTAATTTATTATTTCAGGTTCATGGGTAAAAGTTGCGAGTATTTCATCAGATTATTTTGCGATATCCTTAACGGGACAAAGTATAGTCGCTGCCTCACAAGTTTTTATAATTGGTCTACCCCCACATTTAGCAGGAGTTTGGTTTAGCGCAGGGGAAGTGTCTCGAGCATGCGCAGTTGGAGTTTTTGGAAATCAAGTAAGTATCATTTTTAACAAAAATGCAGTATTTAAGATATTTCAAATGCAGTAGTTAAGGGAAAAAAATATATTTAATACTAAACTGGGAATTAGAGCTGAGCTATATATTATCATATTGTAAAATATTTATATTTTTTAAAATGAAATATCATGATAATAATATTTCAGAACGAGTTCTTACGAAATATTATGAATAATACAATATGCATTACAATAAATATGGAGTATAAGATAATTAGCGACAATGATAATATCGTAATTGTTATTGATAATGTTGAATATAAAATACGGTAATAGTGGGATCATGATCATAAACAACAAAATTCATCGAATGCAGTGACGTCATGATAGCATGACGTCACAAAGTTTGAATTTAAATCACAATAAAATTTTAAGAATAAGTTAATAATTATTTTGGGATAGGAATGAAATAAAATTGTTGCAAAAATCTCTTATAAAACCTTAAAATGAATTTTTCCAACGAAAAAGGTAGATTTTAGACATCCATGTTGTTGACTGAGTCATTAAAAATATTTTTTTAAATTTTGATGTTTAACAAAAAAAAAGAGAATGAAGTTTCAATTGAACAATTGTTTGAAAATATTCTTAACGAATAGAAGCACTTGAAAAGTTATATTTCAATTCATGAAAAAATTTGAAAAATGTTATCGAGTTTTTGATACATGCTCAGATGTGTAATAACCAAACAACGCTATTTCTTATAAGGAAAATAGATTAAGTAAGAACTTTAAACCAATTTATAGATCTTTAAAATAATTTTTAAGCATTTTAATATACTTTCTTATTTTATGTTTTCACAAAAAATAGCCCTTTTCTTACACATGAAGTGGCAAATAACCAAATTTGCATAATGTTAATAACACATTCAATTTTACACTAAAAAATATTGTTTAAGATAACCTGATGTCCTTAAATTCAATGAAAAAAAGTTATTCGAGTGTAAATTTTTTAAATAGAAAGGTATTATACAGAAGTAGTAAATATTTAATTCACATAACACGATTATCAGTAGAATTTAAAAATAGCTGTTGTTAACATTGTTTCCCTATTACTGATTGTTAGGAACTCTTTAAAAGTTTTTTTTTCAGCGGGAGTTCAAAACTTATACTACAACTCAGAATATACGTGCTATATTTATTAAATGAATTTGATTCTGTAGAACATTACGTTTAAGATGATATTCTTAAAAATAGATTTTAAAAAATCTTTTTCTTTTTTTTTTAAAGTTTGCGCATGCATATAACCCCTAAAAATATAATACCATTGTAAAATATAAAATAAAATTTTTTTTAAACTATTTATGCATATTTTTTAAATATTACATCAATATCTTTTAAGAATGTCAGCTGTACATTGTACATATGCTTTGAATTCATCGTCTAGCACGAAAAGATTTTGCAGATAATAGATAAAAAATAAAACAAAAACAATTTTTGAGATACATCGCTTCTTAGGTTAAGAAGTAAATAGGTTAAGTGAAAAGTGTTTTTTTTTTCTTAATTTCATTTTCAGAAATTAACATATATGCATGGAAATAGGAGTGTTTTTCAAAGAGAAAAAAAATCAAGGCATGTTTAATTTAATTTAAATAAAGAAGTTTCGAGAAAAACTTAATGTAGTTGCTTTATTAATATGATTAATTAAAAAAAATATCTGCTACTTCAACTATCTACAAAGATTTTTAATTAGATAAAAAATGTATGCCTGTTTAAATTGCTGCAGACTTAAAGCGTATAATTAGAAAATTTTCAAACAATTTTTAGAAATACCATTCCATTCTTTTTTGCAGTTCATTGGCTACTCATTAAAATGATTTTAAGCCTTTCGTATTTTAACCAGTAGTCGGGACTGCAGACTAATACTGGTTGTTATTAGTCGAAATATTAAACAAATAAAAATATTAAGTGGTAGATTTTTCCGTAGATGATAAATAAAGTTCCTGAGAATAATTAAGCCAATAAGAGAAATAGTTCGAAAAATATAAATATAAAAGTTAATCAAAAAATAATTTCATTTAATAAGACTGTTAATAGCTTTTATGTTATTTCTCTTCTTTTGTAATGCATAACTTTTATAAGGAACATTTTAAAAAGTTAAAACTCTGCTAAGCATAAAATTGTATATAACAAATTGTTACGACAAATACCTGTCATTTATTAACATTTTTTCCCCTTTTAATTATTTAAAGAGGCTACAACATAATTTAAATTTTACGAAATTGAATTGTTTGAAACATAAATGTCAGTTGAAATTTAGAAACTGAATATTTCTAAATTGGAACTTTTGAGCTCGGAAGAATTCTATAATGAAAGAACAATTTAAAAATTAAATATTTATTACATTGATCAGAGTTCAAAATTAGCGATAAATATGATTCTCTAATTTATAAAACTTAAAATGTATTAATTTTAAAATAGTTTTTTAAGCATAGAAATAATTTTAATTAATATTTAGCAATTGTTCATAGATATCAAAGAAAAAAACTATACATTGTAAAATGCACGCAAATAAAAAAATAAACTGACGAATGCCGGATTCGAACCCATTAACCACGCGTTACTAGTCTGCTGTGTTATCCATATATTGCCTAGGAAGTAATTCGTTAATCGTAAAAATCGTTAGTTATTGCATAAATCGGATAAATCGTTAGTTATTGCAATGTGATGAAAAATATTTTATGAATTTCTTTTATTTTTAAGGCGGTTAAGTGTGGCTTTTTATTGCTTATGTATCGAAGTTCTTATCAGAAGAACATTAAATAATCTAAAATACATTTTATTATTCGTCTTTAGAGTAAATTATTTCGTCTTGTTTGTCTTATTAAAACGATTTAAAATTTGCGTTTTTGATGTTCTTCAAGTTCAAAGTTCATTTACAGTTGCTTTTATTCAATATTTTAAGCATTTCCAACCACAAAAAAATAATAAATTAATAAAAATATTTTTTTTCTATAGAAATGCGTATGAATTGTTAACTAGCCACTAAAGGATCAGTAAAATCAACAACAAAATCTCCTTATAGATTACTTTTAAATAAGCTGATGTCTGAAATAACTCTTAATTATACAATAAACACAATGAAAACAATGTATCAGATTAACTAAAAAAGAAAATAAATTTTCCTTTTTAAAAAAAAAATATTAAAAAGAAAGATATATTTAACTCATTTTAAGATAAGATAAATTATAATATTTAATATATAAAGGCCTTATTTAAATAACTTATGAACTCCATCTTTATTGAGTTTAAGATACAGAGCCTTAAAGTCTAATGAGAATACTGTTTTTTGTGCCGCTTGTTTGCCAACAGAAATAAACTAGAGGTGTTATAGTTTTAAATATTGTATTGTCAATTAAGTTCACTACGTTTTTTTATATATTGTGTTGCTGAGTTCCCACCATTTTATAAATATTGTGTTGCTGAGTTCCCACCATTTTTTAAATATTGTGTTGCCAACTAAATTCCCGCCGTTTAAAGCCTTACTTTAATAACGGATGAACTCCGTCTTTATTCCGTTTAAGATACCGAGCCTTATAATCTAATGAGAATACTGTTTTTCCGTTTTTGTTTCATCTTTAGTGCCGTCTGATTGTCAGCAGAAATAAAAGGAAGATGTAATAGTTTTAAATTTGGTGTTGCCGATTAAACTTTCACCGTTTTTTTTATTATTATTTTTTATCTTTTTAAGTTTAAAGTTTGACAGAATTTTGTTTTCTCTGTCAGTTTCCGTGTCGTTTGACGTGAATTTTCGTGCAAAAGTTGGTCTAATCGCATTTCCTCTTACTCAACTGGACTGCCAGACTGAGGTGCTATATTTTTTTTTATTTTCAAATTTCACGGGCGACTCTTTCAACTATGGCACCCTCTCCATACACAGCACAAGTATCACGAACAGCTTATGCACCCTTAGAACCTTGATTAAATGCAAAAAGATGGTGTCAAAAATTTTAGTTTTTCACTACTTGACATTCCATTCCAATGATCTATAAATTAATTTGCATTAGAAAAAAACGATGATTCCGATAAAACAAAACTTCCTTTTTTTCGAATGATCTAAAACATTATGCCAAAAGCATATAATGGCATACGGAATGTCGGAATATATAAAAGGTAGGTACTTAGTTCCCAACTCAATAAACAGAAATGAATTTCATGAACATAGAAGTGAAGTTAAGTTAACCAGCATAAGGCCATCTCATCTTAAGCTACAAAATGAGGCAGTCCTAATACTTAATGTGAATAGACAATTTCTAATAGATGTATTTAAAGCATTTTGTTTTTCTCTCAATAGTTAGGAATTGCTCTTGGTTTTGTGCTTCCACCTCTAATTGTTCCAAATTCTCCAAACAAAGAAGATATAAGCAGAGGTCTTAGTATTCTATTCTATTCAGTTGCTGGGATTACAAGTGTTCTCTTCTTAGCCATTGTCTTCCGTAAGTATATATATCTAATATTTAACCAGTATATCCATCATTATATTGAATATTGTAAGACATTTTAGTAATTGCATGCGAAATTATGTGATATTTGAATACATTTCATGTGCGATATTTAGAAATGTTGAAAAAAACTTTACCTAGTTTTAACCTAAAACTTTTAACCTAGAGAACAAGGCTTAGTTATGCCTGATATTTAAATGCTTAGGGTTTGGTTCTCTTTAACAAACTAAGATTTAATTTTCGCAGCAGTACTCAAGTAAGAACTACTGACATGATAAAAATAAGCTGATTCCGAATCTTCTGTAATTTGCTATTTTTCAGACTTGGTAATTAAGATGCCCCAAAATTTATTCAAGATTAGACGCTCTTTACTTTCGCACAATTTGTGTAACCAAGTATTTCTAACGAAAACTTTAAGACAGCAGACAGTTTAGTTTTAAAATAGAATGTTGCATAAAAGAACAACGCGATTTCATCAGTGAACAATATTTTCAGCTTTGAGGAATTAGAAGCCCAGAATTTTTTACTTTGATTTTTTAATCATAACTACCTATTCTCTGAAGGAGAAAATATGGCCACATTTATGAAAAATGGTCACTGAAAATTTCAACATAAGAATATCAACTCGATATGCTGGTCCATTCATGAGCTTTTTCGTGACAGTCACTCAGGCTGTTCATGGAGGTCTTTGCATCCTCGGCTTGTTGGAGGGCACCTTGGTCCTTTACAATCATAGATCAGTTAATCATAAATCACAATTGACAGCTTACATCTCAGTATCGCTGCTCAACCCCATACAGTGAACTTTATAAATCAATACAAATTTTGCATTTTTAATTAAAAACCTAACTTAATTCTGGTGAGAAATTTGTGGCACCTTGTATAAGACCTGTTGGAAGGAACAAAGCGATATTTCTACTCATTATTTGATTTTTTGTTTCAAAAAAATTGTTTTTAATGTTTTTATTTTAATAGGGGTTTCACATTGCCTCATTCATTTCGATTGTTTATTTTTGTAAGCCTTTTACTTACGGTTAAAATTAGATGGAGCATTTGAGCATTTCTAGTGAAGTTTTTTAAGTTACAAATTCAATTTGTTTTTGAAATCCTTTTAAGTTCTCTGTATAAACATTCGAACTACAAAAGCAATTTCTGCTTCATAATATGAATTTTTAAGAGCTTTCACGCAGCACACTTAAAAATATCCTTAAACTTCAAGTTCATGTACCTTTGTACACTTCAGATAATATAGTTTTCTAAAATAACCACACTGGAATACATACGTGGTATTATTTTTTAAAAAAGAATTTCTGATATATATTTACTATGAATACCTTAATATTTATAATAAGTTCCTGATAGAAGTCGCAACCCCATAGTTTTGATTATAGCGAACAGAATGCGAATGCTGGCGAAAAATTGAAAAACTGATTTGGATGTGTTTTTAGAGCTTCAAATTAGAAAAATCTAATTTTTCTGCAGAAAATTAGACAATGTAAAACGATGCACGTAGTACTGTATCTTACATAAATTACCGAAATGTGTTTCGAATTTACCTCACACTGGAAAAACTCCAAAATTAGGATTTGAGATAAAAAAAAGTTTTTAATTTGAGACTCCAATAAATTATGATTTCAGGTAAAAATATTATATTATGATTTGAGATGAAAATATTTCATTCTGATTTCAGATGAATATGTTATATTATGATTTAAGACTCCAATATATCATGATTTGAGATAAAAATATAAAATATGTCTCTGTATGTGTTTTTCATTTATATTAATGAATATAATTAAATCAATAAGATAAAAAATTAAAAATAAAATTAATAATTATAATTGAAGTGAATATAAAATATAATTTTTTGTGTTTTTATGCTTATTTAGGATGTGGAAATTTCCGCTCTGTCATTAAGAGCTCTGTCATTGGCCATTTTTTAAAAAAAACATTTAAAAACAGTTAAAAATGAATTTTTTTTTCTCTAAACGTTTATGAAATATTATAAAATATTATAAATTATGAAATATTATAAATTATGAAATATTTTAGAAACTAATTTCCTTTCTTTACCATTTGTTATCGACTAAAAATTAGCAATCATTGGATTTTCTCGCTCTGTTAAGATCAAAAGAATGTGCATGGCTGAGCATACAGATAAGCCTTTTTCGAAACTTTCATTGTTTTCAGAAAAATTTAATCGCAAATAATAATGAAAACTAATAAACTAAACTAGAATAAAATCTTTTTAAAGGCTCCGTTAAAAAGAAAAATGGTTGTGTATATGTATACATGCACACAACTATTAGAGCGCTAAGTCAAAATTTTGAAGAATTTATCCATAAAGAGTTTTTTATAAGATGCAAAAAAACCTTGTTAATATAACATAATTCCCAATAATATTTTATTATAACTTTTATATTCTAATAATGAATGATGAAATTACTTTTAATGCATTTCAGAGCTTATTCCCTTTATTTCTGTTTAAAAAAAAGCATCAGCTTCAGAAATATCTTATCGATAGGCTGTTCCCTAATCGCCACCTTTAATGTATTTTTCTAACTAATGTATTACCATGATCAAAAATAAAATAAAGAATATATTTAATAAGGATTACAAATTAAGATTTAAGAAATGGAAAAAAACCACTATTAAAGTCGAATAAATTATTTAGTCAAGTAAAAATGTAAAAAAAAAACAATTAAGAAAAAAAAACAATTTGATTTCAAGACGAAATGTTTCCTATCGTCGTCTTTTATCTCTCACTTCTCTTCTGCAATCAAACATGTTTTGACATTGTTAATCTCGTCTCCCTCATTGATTAGTTGTCAGATTTCTTATAAAGTTTTTCTCGTTTAATCGCATAAATAATAATTTGAGGCTTCTATTATGCTGAACTTTTGACATGAATTTAAAATGTATATTAAGGATAGAAATTGCAAAACACCTTATTCTTTTAATTTTTCAACGATTTTTTTACATTAAGGGGTTATATTATTAAAAGATACTGATTAGCAAAAGGTGTTATCAGATTTATATTTATTTGTAAGTCTCCATTCATATTTACGAATAATTAAGATTTACTATACTTAATCTAATCAAGTTTCATTCAAGGCTATTGCAAACAATTAGACCTAATTCTAAACTCAGAATTTTCTAGAACTTCTAAAGATAAATTATCTAAAAATTCTAATTGGCACACGCTCTGAGAGATAATAATTCAGATTACTTTGTTATTAAAATTTGAGGTTGTGGGAAAAAACAGTAAACACCTCAATGTCATGNAAATTAATAATTATAATTGAAGTGAATATAAAATATAATTTTTTGTGTTTTTATGCTTATTTAGGATGTGGAAATTTCCGCTCTGTCATTAAGAGCTCTGTCATTGGCTATTTTTTTAAAAAAAAAAACATTTGAAAACAGTTAAAAAGGAATTTTCTTTTCTCTAAACGTTTATGAAATATTATAAAATATTATAAATTATGAAATATTTTAGAAACTAATTTCCTTTCTTTACCATTTGTTATCGACTAAAAATTACCAATCATTGGATTTTCTCGCTCTGCTAAGATCAAAAGAATGTGCACGGCTGAGCATACAGATAAGTCTTTTTCGAAACTTTAATTGTTTTCAGAAAAATTTAATCGCAAATAATAATGAAAACTAATAAACTAAACAAGAATAAAATCTTTTTAAAGGCTCCGTTAAAATGAAAAATGGTTGTGTACATGTATGCATACACACAACTATTAGAGCGCTAAGTCAAAATTTTGAAGAATTTATCTATAAAGAGTTTTTTATACGATGCAAAAAAACCTTGTTAATATAACATAATTCCCAATAATATTTTATTATAACATTTATATTCTAATAATGAATGATGAAATTACTTTTAATGCATTTCAGAGCTTATTCTCTTTATTTTTGTTTAAAAAAAGCATCAGCTTCAGAAATATCTTATCGATAGGCTGTTCCCTAATCGACACCTTTAATGTATTTTTTTAACTAATGTATTACCATGATCAAAAATAAAATAAAGAATATCTTTAATAAGGATTACAAATGAATATTTAAGAAATGGAAAAAAACCACTATTAAAGTCGAATAAATTATTTAGTCAAGTAAAAATGTAAAAAAAAAACAATTAAGAAAAAAAAACAATTTGATTTCAAGACGAAATGTTTCCTATCGTCGTCTTTTATCTCTCACTTCTCTTCTGCAATCAAACATGTTTTGACATTGTTAATCTCGTCTCCCTCATTGATTAGTTGTCAGATTTCTTATAAAGTTTTTCTCGTTTAATCGCATAAATAATAATTTGAGGCTCCTATTGTGCTGAACTTTTGACATGAATTTAAAATATATATTAAGGATAGAAATTACAAAACACCTTATTCTTTTAATTTTTCAACGATTTTTTTACATTAAGGGGTTATATTATTAAAAGATACTGATTAGCAAAAGGTGTTATCAGATTTATATTTATTTGTAAGTCTCCATTCATATTTACGAATAATTAAGATTTACTATACTTAATCTAATCAAGTTTCATTCAAGGCTATTGCAAACAATTTGACCTAATTCTAAACTCAGAATTTTCTAGAACTTCTAAAGATAAATTATCTAAAAATTCTAATTGGCACACGCTCTGAGAGATAATAATTCAGATTACTTTGTTATTAAAATTTGAGGTTGTGGGAAAAAACAGTAAACACCTCAATGTCATGAAACACTTTGAATATTATCATTTTATTCTGTGATAACTTACCATTATAAAATCGATAAATCTTCCATAAAGCCTCAACGAAACAAAGTGTTTTTATGAGGTTTGTAAAATTCCTTATCTTTACACAAAATGTCAAATATTGCATTAGATTATAAAATGAAACAGTTTAAAATAAGATTAGATACGATAAAACCAGAACTGATCTGGTTTATCTGAAATGAGTTCGGGAGAACAATTATTTTTTTACATATGCAGTAACAAGTTTATTGCTATTTTTTGAAATTATTATTCCATTTAAAATTTTACGAATTACAAAATCAAGCAAATTGTACTAGGCTATCTAAATTTTCAATTTTTGTATTTAGTTAAAACTAGTGGGATACGATTTGAATTATAATTTCAGTTTTTTTTCCTAAAATTAAAAGCAATAAAATAATCTACTGTGAGGCAATAATTCCCAGGAAGGGAATTTTTGACTTCTTTTTAGAGTTTCATTATTTTTGTCATAAAATATAGTAGAGAACCAAAAACTGTTAGATGCATTGCACGACAGTAAATTACACTGGGGAGCAATTTTTTTTGTTGCATTTATGCAAATACTTGATTTTAAATCTGAAAGTGGTTTTGCTCCTAAAACTAAATATTTTATTATTTTTCTAAATGACATTTTTAGTCCATTTTTTGTAGAAATGTATAAACTTAAAAATGTTATATATAACAAGGGATCGCGTTTTGGCAAACATCTAGGAGAGTTATGGGTGCATCATTAGGATTAAAACTACCTACCCATGCCCGGAAATGTTATCGTACGCCGCTAGGACACTTCTCTATAAGGAACTGTTAAAACTGATTAAAAATGCCATTAAAAACTGTAGCCAGTAGAAAGAAACCGATTACAGATTTGAAATCATCGATATGAAACAATCCAAGATCGGTTAAAAAAAATCTGATGCAACAGAAAAAAGAATTCCTTCAGTGCACTCGGAAGAAATATTTAAGAATTCAATTATTTAAAATTAAAGATATTTTGGATGATGAAGAGAATACAAGGTAAGAGAGAATACATCTCAAAGAATACAAGGTAAATCTGTAAAAAATTACAAGCAAAATATACAAAAGTATTTCAGATTTATTTTAGAATGTCTTAATGTGCATAAAAGACTAATTTCAATAAGGTTTTTGAAAAATGAGATTTTTTTTTCTAACATAAATATTTAAAATCTTATACTTCGAATGTTGGTTAAAATTTGTTGCTACTATAATTAAGATCCCATTTAATAGGTATTTGAAAAGAAAACACTTACAAGCTGTATTACAAGACACGTGCATGATGTATTACACTATTCTGTATACACACACTTTTATATTTGTAGTAAGAATACGTTATCACTGAAAATTTTAGTAAGAAAACAAAATAAAATTTTAATTCAGATTTTTCCTAATCTTCATAGTAAGAGCGCAAAAACGCAATAAAAACACAAAATTACGGACATTCGTAGACATTTTACGTTTTGAATAGTCATGTAAAAACAGTTTTTCTGCTACAGGCTCTCCCCGACCACAGTGCTAACGTAAAATATCCTCGGTGGTAGATGGAGATCATGGGTTAGAGTCCCTTGCCATCGGGCTAACCCTGCGAGGTTTTGCGGTTTTCCTCTGTCTGTAACGCAAATGCGGGTTAGTTCCATCAAAAGTCATCCACGAAGTCTAGTTTGCAGCAGTGCTTGATCTAGGAAATCTCTTGTCTTCTGCATTGGTTTCAAATTTACAAGTCTACGGAGTTGAACATTAATAACCGTAAATTCAAAATTTGGTCGGCTCTTCAACGTTGGTTATATTATTTACGGTAACATATGTATAACGTTCATAATTCAAATTGATTATGCTGTTTTAAGCACTCATTTTAAATTTTTTTCTTAATTTTTAACACAGTTGATTTCATTTTATTTCAGTCTTCAGAGAAAAGCCTCCTCTTCCACCAAGTAGAGCACAAGAACAAATATTGAATGGAGACTCGCGGGAAAATTATTGGCATTCTATTTTGAATCTTATCAAGAATTTTCATTATATGATGTTGCTAGTTACATATGGTGAGTATTTTTTAGAATATGAAATTAGTATGGAATTATTTTTGAATGGTTTTAAATTTTTCTTTGATTTAAATGTTTAATCGGGTATCTCTTGCTTAAAAATAAATCCAATCTCTAAAATCTAACATTTTATAAAAATCCATTTTTTTTAGCTCATATCAAAAGTGAAGCTCTTATTTACTTTTTTTATAATCCTCTTCGCTTAAATTTTCTGAAAATGTTTGGTAAATTTTATTTGTAATCCTCTAGTAAAAACTTAAAATATCACAAAAATTCGTATAAATTACTTACGGTATGCAAACGGGAGAAATATTAAGTTTATTCTCAGTTAATGGTAAACGTTGGTTTAAAAATATTTAAAGTGCTATTGCTTTTAATTTAATTTATTTTTTAAATTTTTTAATGTAAATGCAAGTATGAATATCAGATATCACAGAAAACTAGGATCAGATATCGTTTACCCTAATTGCAGCTTCAGAGCAGTGATTCTCATCCACTGTGCCGCGGCACTTTTGTGTGCCGCCAAATTCTTAAAATGTTCTGCCAAGTATTAGAAATGATACAATAAAAATTATAATGCTTTTTTTATTACGAGTAAAGTTTAAATTAAAGAAAGTGTATTACTTTTTAATGCTTTTTATACTAGTGTAAAATTTTTTATAATTTTTAGACGCTTTAACCGCGTGAACATCTTTGTCAGCGATTGTCTTGTCTCTGACAATCTTAAAATGAGTTAAAATAAGATGAAAGTGTTTAAATTGTCTTTGACACACAATTTTAAGAAATGTTGAAATAAGTAGGAAGTCTAACAACTATTAAAATTATTAATTAATAAAGGAAAGAAAGCTAAATATTAACTTTCGAACGGAAATAAAAGCTAATCATTAAAGTAAGCTATGCAATTAATAAACAAATTAGCAAAGGATAACTAAACAACAAATATATAAAAAACAGATTGAAAAGGATAACTAACAAAAAAATAAGCTAACAATTAATAATTAGCAAAAAGACTAGTTAACAAGAAATAACAGGAAAATAACAGTCAATGTAAAAAACTAACAGTTAAGACCTACAGAAAACAAACTAACAATTAATAACTGGCAAAAAAAATAAAAAATAACTGTTACTAAGTAATAAGAAATTAGTTGAAAGAAATGATTATTCCCTTAATAAACGTGCTTTTGTAGTACATATTATTTTATTTCACATTCAAAATTATGATCACAAACTATTTAACACAGTGTATAGGTATGTAAACAACTTTTAATCTAAATTGTTTCATTGTGTGCCGTCAAATTTCGAAATCGTTAAAAGTGTGCCGCAACAAAAAAAAGGTTGAGGATCACTGCTTTAGAGTATAGATTAATTTTGCTTTTTTTTTTGGTTTTCAATATAGTTAGCAATTGTGCGACCTTTATTATATTTCTAATGTTAAGCCTACTGAAGGCTTACTCATAAAAAAAAAGTTAATTCAATATGTATTCTGCCTAGAAACAAGGCAACTCTACGTAAATCATTCAGAAAATTTAAATTTATTAATTATAAATTTTTGTAATAATAAACTTTGTAATGACGCACAATAAATACACTTGCTAGAATATCGAATGAAAAAAGCAAAATTAAGTCATTTTTACTCAATTAAATTGAACAATACATTATCTGCTTGTCAGAACATATGGTCTTGTACTTTTATCAGTTTAATAACTGAAATATAACTTATTCACCATGGTAATGACATTTGCACTTAAGGGAAAAGTTGTGATAAAAGTAATCAATATAATTTTTTCTTCAATGTCTTTAGATCCAAATAAAAAAATATTAAAAGTAGAAAAAAATATTTTTCAATTTTTTAATATTAAAATAATAGAATTTGAAGTTAGGGACAAATCTTAACATTTTCAATTTGTAAGTATTTTTTTTAACACAGAAATTTTATTTTTTTGATATTTGAACTAATGAGCAGTGTACCACTTGAAAAGAATTATAGACAAAAATAATAAATTTTTTCAAGCAATTGCCCAAATTTGTAGTGCATAAAAAATATTTTCATGTTCAAAAATTTAATTTTTAACACTGAAATTTCCCCTTATTTTTTATTCTATTATATTTTCTCTTAAATGTGACTGATTGTATTGTTCTTTTTTTTTCATATTAAAATAATAAACTGTTTAACAATAGCAGTTAAAATTGCCCTTTTTTACAAATTAAAAGAATAAACTGTTGATATTGTACACTTTTAAGTTTTATAAATTTAATTCTTTGTGGCACTCTTTTTAACGTAACAGCCATTGAATATATCTGATTATATTTTCTCAATGTGCTATACTAACGTGCATCATTTAATATATAATCATATGCTATTTAAAATTTAGCTTATTTGTGAATGCTATGGCTCTGTTATTTGCGTTATAAACTAACCCATTGATCAAATGAACATCACATAGCTTCGTATGAAGTAAATTTTTTTCAGCATATTTCAAGTATAAATTAAAATATACTTTTGCTTGATTATTAAATTTACCGGGCAACATCATTATTTAATTTTACCTTATTCAAGCTGTATTTTTGAATATCACATGACTTTTTAAATCTACATGTTAAATTTAAAATTTATTTCATTTTTTCTGACAAATATCTTCCATTTAATATATAGTAATTCATTTGTCATTTATACACAGTAAAAAATGGAGGCAACTACTTTACACTAAAATGATGTTTCACTAAGTGTTCAACTACACCAAAACCAATGGGTGTTCCTGGTGTATTAAAACAACTAGTATGCTCTTTTACACTACTTGGTGGAAAGTAGCCGCCTCCATGTTACTGTAATTTTGACCACACTTTTTTTTCTCAGTGCATGATGTAGTTTTCATAGTGAGCAACTTACAACAAATGAGCCTTTTGGTGAAGCATTTACGCATAGTTTTCAGCATAATTTGATACTTTTGACCCTTAATATCGTCAAGATTTATCACAGTTAGTACAATGTAAATGATTATGCATGATTTTACGCATTATAATCGCATTCGATTTTAGTATCGATAAATTATACATTCAACCCAATCATAGCTGAGCAGATCACTTGTTGCTTCTCTTTGTTTCGAGATGTGTCTTTTCTTATATTCGCGTTAATGTAAGTATTAAGATTAACCAGCAAAGTTTTATTCTCTAATTCTAATCCACTTGAATTTTCAAGCTTTGTAGCACTATTTCAGAGAAACCGATTCTTTTTATTCGGTACAAAAATTACAGTTTCAGAAAAGTTTTGCATTAAAAAAAACATTTAAATATTTTTACAATTTTGAATTTCATAATATTTTTTTGAATATATGAGGTTATTCAAACTCGTTAAATATATAGAAAATTTGCTTTTTTTTCTTATTAGAAATGTTTCTTATCTTTTATGGCACCCCTGGTTTTTGTCACCAGTTTGATAATGGTTGTCGAATAAAGTCTAAAGGAGTCAAGTTTTCATAAAATTAAGAACTTTGATTTTTATTTTGTTTGAAACTTTCTTAAATAATTTGCATAATAACTGTTTGAAAAAGTTTGTTGAACTGTTTGAAGAATTTTTCATGGAGTTATGCTTTTCGTTCTTTTTTTTCCCATTTTCTAAGACCATTTTCTAAATAGTTATATTTCAAATAAATATCAAATTCTGTTATTCTTTCTTTTTACATTTGCAGTATTATTAAATTGATTGTTTGTTCTATTTAAAAAAAATTAGAATAAGCATTCAGAACTTAATTTTCCAATATACATATTAGAGGTGATCAATTAGCATTTGATTGAGGGGTAAATAGTCACCGAAATTGGATAAATCATTACTAAGGAACGCCGGGACTAAAAACATGAAAATTTATTTGTTTACTTTGAAACAGAAGGAAAATGTGAAGTGATTGTTAGAAACACATTCGAATTTCGCAGAGCAATCGGAAAGGTTTAATACATTTAATCCTGCTCTCTTCTATAGTGATTAGTTATATTTTGATGTGGTTTTTTTTCCTGGATTAAATATTAATTTGCAACCTCAATGTTTATAATTTGTTTTATTAATTTAAGACTAAGACATCAATATAACAAGGCTAATTATTTAATTCTAGGAATAAATGTTGGAGTATTTTATGCTATATCCACGTTCCTAAATCAAATGGTGCTTGCATATTATGACGTAAGTATGTAGGATTTCTACGAAAGGCTTATAACTTATTGCAAAAAAAATTATGTATTTTTTACATTTTTTTGTCTTAGATTTAAGATTTGTATTTTTCATTTTCAATAGTTTATTTTTGAAGATGCGATTTTGTTAAAATTTTGATGTTACGCATATTCAAAAATCTTCACAAATGTTTATCATGTTGCCTTGCAAAAGCAGAACTGATTTAATTCTATCAGATTGTATGACCCCAAAAAATTAAAATATTTTTTTGCTATAGCTTTATTTTGAAATAACTAACAATTTTAAAAAAAATTTCAATTTCTTTTAAATTTTTAGTATTTCTTTTCATTGTCATAAAATTTTTTAACTGTTCTTTCAATTGTCATTAACTTATCAAAAGAAATTTTTTACTTTTTGCTTATCATTATCATAACTTTCAATGTAAAAAAGTAATTGAACTTGAACTGTTAACACACGAAAAAACAGTTAAAAATTTAGCTTCTCATAACGCATGAAATTGTCAAAAACCTGTTCCATCTTTTAATCTGTGATATCGCATTAATATATTTTATTTCTGCAATATTTAGCACTTTTATGTATCATCTCTCGCGTTTACTCCAGATCATTATTCAGTTTTTTAATCTGAAGGGTTTATTCAGTTCCACGCACTAAAGCAACTGAGCAAGCTCAGTTTAAATATTCTGTGTCTCGGACATTCCCAGTTTTTTTAAATTTTATTTTATAATTGTCGTTGAACAGTCGACCCGATTTTGATTTTACGACTACTAATGTTAAACTTCGCAGCCTTGCAATTTCGAAATCAATCCAGATGAAAATGAGACTCCCGATCCAGTATTGGAAGAAATTTGTCTTCTTGGGGGTCTTTTCGATGGATCGAGCACACTTTTTCGTTACGTGGAGAGGAAAACCACGAATCCTTCCCACGGTCAGCCTGACGGCAAAGAGCTCTAACCAGGCCCGTAGCCAGGGGGGGGACCGTCGGGACAAATCCCCCCCCCCCGAAATTCTGGGATTCAAACTTTTTAGTCTTTCTTTGAGCCTCTCAGTAAAAAGAAAAACAAAAACTGTCGAATCAAACCTTTTCCNGGGCTCTGGGCCCATGTCCGAGAGTTCGTGGGTTCGAACCCCGCCGGCCGAAGACTCCCCGTGTAGTAAAGTGACTGATGCACGGTAAATCTGTCGAGTCGCAAAAGTCCTCTATGTTCCCATAACAAATCAACACCTCTGGGGGTACTGGATTGGAGATCGATCGTTCTCTGATTCAGGTCAAAATTACGATCTGTGGATGAAAGAATGGATGTACGAATGGGTCCGCCCTATAAACGGATGCGACGTATGGTGTGGTAGAAGTCGAATTCTTGGCCATGATGGCGCCACAGGAAAACAAGAACAATTGCACCCCCTCTCTCTAAACAGGCATACGTCAACAACAACAATTGTTTATTTTTGAAGATGTGTTTTTGTTAAAATTTTGATATTGAGTAAATTCAAAAATCTTCACGAATGTTTATCATGTTGCTTTACAAAAGCGGAACCGATTTAATTATTAAAGATTGTATGACCGCAAAAAATAAAAATATTCTTGCTATAGATTTATTTTAAAATAACTAACAATGGTAAGAAAATTTCAATTTCCCTTAAATTTTTTGTATTTCTTTTTCCTGTCATGAAATTTTTAACTGTTCTTTCGATTGTCATTAACTTATTCAGAAGAAATTTTTTATTTTTTGCTTATCATTATCATAACTTTCAATGTAAAAAAAATAATTGAACTCAAACGTCTCGAAAAATTATTAACACACCAAAAAAAAAAAATTAAATTTAGCTTCTCATAACGCAGGAAATTGTCAAAACCAGTTCTATCTTTTAATCTGTGATATAGTATTAATATATTTTATTTCTGTAATTACTCAGTTATTGATTTGATGGGTATTCAGTTCCACGCACTAAAGCAACTGAGCAAGCGCAGTTTAAATATTCTGTGTCTCTGACATTCACAGTTTTATCAAAACCAGTTCTATCTTTCAATCTGTGATATCGTATTAATATATTTTATTTCTGTAATATTTAGCACTTTCATGTATCATCTCGAACGTTTACTTCAGATCATTACTCAATTATTGATCTGAAGAGATTATTCAGTTCCGCGCACTAAAGCAATTGATCAAGCGCATTTTAAATACTCTGTTCCTCGGATATTCCTAGTTTTTTTAAATTTTATTTTTTAATTGTCGTTGAACAGTCGACCCAATTTTGATTTTACGACTACTAATGTTAAACTTCGTAGCCTTGCAATTTCGAAACCAATCCAGATGAAAATGGAACGCCAGATCCAGTATTGGAAGAGATTTGCCTTCGTGGGGGTCTCTTCGATGGATCGAGCACACTTTTTCGTTACGTGGAGAGGAAAACCACGAAAACCTCCCACGGTTAGCCTGACGGCAAAAAGCTCTAACCCATGATCTGCCTACCATTACTGATATTTTTGCGTCAGCACTGTGGTCGGTGCGATCCTGGTGTGGAATTCATGCCGACTAGCCATCACTTGGATTTGAACCAGGTTTACCTCGCTGGAAGGCTAGCGCTCTATCCCCTGCTGTCTCATGGACATACAGTTTGAGAAATCTGTGCTTCGGATATACACTGTAAGAGTGTAATGGACTTGCGCTGTTCGAGGAATCTGTGCTACGGATATCCACAGTTTGAGGAATCTGTATCACGAACATGCACACATTGAGAAATCTGTATAACGGACATGCACAGTTTCAGGAATCTGTATCGCGGACATGCGCAGTTATTTCGGGACAAAAGTATGTCAACGACTCGGAACGTTATGCAAAAGTGCTAAATCTCTCTATTAATTAAAAAATAACTCAAAAATTTATCTAGTATTAGGGAGTTTTTCCCTCTTTCACCCAATTTATTACATACAACATTGCGCAATCTTGCTTACCTCATTAAATAAGCAAAAATAGGGGATCAAACAAAGTTTGCTGCAAAAAACTTCTAATTTCTATCTTATGCATTTCGTTATTTTTATTAGAATAATATTTGTATTGTTTAAATGCATCATTTTTTTCTAGGGAGCCGAGGAAAGCGCTGGATGGATGGGACTTACCATTGTTATCTCTGGTATGTTCGGATCTGTTGCTTGTGGATTCGTTCTTGACAAAACTCATCGATTCAAGTAAGAAAAGTTTTCAAGCTCTCATTTCTCTCAAAATAATTGAATTTTATTTAATCTAATTTTAATATATTTTAACAGAGAAACAACACTTTGCGTGTATATCCTGTCTTTAAGTGGAATGATAGCTTTTGCCTTGGTGTTACAATTTGGAAACCTGGTGTCATTATTCATTGTGTCAGCTTGTTTAGGGTAAATTATTCGTTTTACGTTTGTATAAATTTGAATTTTTCCTTTTTTTTAAAACAAGTCGCATTTTTTAAGCTTTTAAAACGATTAACTGCTATTTTTATATAGCATGATTAAACACTAACTTATGTTAATTACTATTACACTAACTTATGTTAATTACTATTACACTAACTTATTAAAATTATACACATTGTGTAATATGTCTAATTTTTTATTACATTTTTTACAAAAATTGTAAGATATATTGTAAGGAAGTATTGTAATATTGTAAGATATAATTGCAATTCATTTCAAGGAATTTTTACGGGATATCCCGCTTATAAAAATAAATATTTATAAATAAATACTTATAATCTATTTTCACAAAAGTATTGTACTGTGAGCAAAAACAATGGACCACCCTGAATAACTTTTGAACTAATGATCAGATAGTCACGTTCTAGGACTCAATCTTAATGCTTCGAGGGAGTGACCTCAAATATGCTAATTAACTTGTGCAGATGATATTTTAAATTGCAGAATCAAACAAAAAAACTTACTTTCTCAAAATAAACCTGACTTTTTTCGACGGATTAGGAATTCTTACCCACAAAATGATAGTGGTAGTCGCAAACTGGGAAACACGGTCCTAGTAGTTTGGTCAGAAGAACGAATCAAAGTTAGGATCCTATAATGTCAATTTTACTTTTTGCATATTTTGTAATATCCAGAGAACTTTTTAAGCAAATTGAAAAATTTTTGCATGCAATTATAAAATTCTTTTAGCCGAAGATAATTCTATTAAAAAAATAAATTTTAGTAAATATTTATCATTTTATTTAATAATAATTGAAAAATTAATTGAATTTTTCATCTGAATTATTGAGTATACAATTTCTTACATCATTTTAAAGTATGTAATTTTACATAGCAAAATGCAAAATCTGTGCAAAATCGGCTGAATAGTTCCTGAGAAATCGAATTTCAAATATGGGCGAATATCAGGAATCATTAATCGAATTCGATCTATTCTCTAGGTTGTCCAGACCGTAACCCTGTCAAACCGCAACTTCAGGATTAATTAATTGAATTTAACATAATAAGGGCATCAAAATTTTCGATGTTCACGATTATTTTCTGATATTTTATGCATTTTCAAACTATTCTGGAGGTGTAAAAATAGTGTGCTTATTATTTTTTATTATTTTGTTTTATTATCAAAAGTTAAAAGTTTTGTATTTTGCCATGTAAGTTTATATACTTTAAAATGTCAAAAATTGCATACCTTACAATTCAAAATTTTTTCGATTACTACTGAATAAGATAATAAATATAACAAATATTTGCGAAAAAAAATTTTTTGCGCGGAATTATCTTTGGATAAACAAATTATATAATGATGGGCAAAAACTTTTCAATTTGCTTAAAAAGTTCTCCAGATACGGTGAAATATGCAAAAAGTAAAATTACCATTAAGGGGTCTAAACTTTGGATCGCTCTCCAGATCAAACTATGGGGACCATATATCCTAGATTGCGACTACCCCCTATATTTTGGGGGATCCGAAATACAAATCCGTCGAACAAAAGCCATGTTTATTCAGAGAAGGTTCGTTTTTGTTCCTGATTTCGTAACTTAAAATATCGTCTACACTAATTAATTAGCATATTCGAGGTCACTCTCAGGAACCATTAAAATTGAATCCTAGAACGTGAAAATCCGATCATTATATCAATAGTTACTCTGGGTGGTTATTTTTTTTAAACTGTACAATCATTGACTAAAGTCTTCCCATCTGAAATATTTATAAAAAAGTTACACTTTTTATGATTGAATAGATCTTAATGTTTGACTGAAAAACTGTTATTCAATCTTAAATTTCAACTGTGAAAAGTAATCTTAATTTCTAAACATTTTATTTTTCCATTTAGACTCTACAATAGCTACTACATTTACTGCTAATAACTATTACATTACATCCTACTACTTATCATCCTGATACCAGAAACCTTCCACCGCAGTAGCGAGCGTAGCAGACTATTAATATATTTGCTCATTATTTTTCATCTCAGATTTGGGAAAAGGGGAAGAAAAAAAAGCAGACAAAAACTTCTGAGTGAAGTAAAAAAAAATTGTCAGGTAATGAAAATTTAAAAATAAAATCATATAGTACATGAAAGATGAGAAACAATATTTTCTCTTCTTAAATCTGACATAAAATTGAATTACCGTAAAGCTGCGAATTGGGAACATTACCTTAGCGTGTTTTATGATTTTCCTATAGCTTATTCGAAGATTTAATTCACTTAAACTGTGACTTTTTTTATTATTTATTTTTTGAAATAGCTTTGAAATACGCGCTTAATTCCTTAAAAGAACGGTGAGAGAAAAGTATGGTCAAATGGCTCTATGGGAACAAAAAAAAGCTCAGTATTTTTAACCGAAGCGCTTTGGTGAAGATTTTTGGTAAAATTAACAATGAAATATGGTTTTATAACGTGTGATAAAATTGGAAATTTTATCACGACACCTTAGACCATGGTATAAAAACCATTTACTTGATTAAACTCACTTTTCAGTTTTGTAGTTTTTACTAAATGTGAGATAATAAGAGCTCTAATTTCAAAAACCAGAATTTCCTATCAACTGTTACTATATGAACGGAAAAATTAACAGATGAATGGTTAAGATATCTCATATTTTAGTTTTATTAACCAGAAAGGTTCATTGCCAGGCTGTCTGGTGGAGATCCACGGCGAAGACAATTTCACCAGAATTGTCTTCGCCGTGAAATATTTGTAAATTATTTTAATAACGTTTCTGCTTTGAACTGTAATGAAAATGTTACTTTTGTAGGTTTTTCATGACTGGTTACTTGCCTTTGGGATTTGAATTCGCTGCAGAAATCACATACCCAGAAGCTGAAGCTAATTCATCTGGTTTACTAAATGCATCTGCTCAGGTATTCATTTTTCATACATACAGAATCTTAAATATACGAAATTTTAAATGTTTTTTTTAAATATTTGTGTTATTGGCGAACAGTAGGATAAATATTCTTTTAACTTAAATATGAAGTCACGTGATGGTGCTAAAGCTAAATGGGATGTCAGTTTGAATGACAGCCGAATACTATGAGTCAAATTATCGTAATAATCTGATGAATAATTATTAACAATATTCTATCAGCTATATGTACTTTATTCCGATACTCATTGTAGTATGTATATTTTCTGCCATATTTGAGCTAGTTTTAATCTAAAAAAAGTATTTGATTTGCGAAATTAAAACTTTTGTTTTCTTAATAATAAATATAGTTATAGTTTTAAGTAAAAAAAATTACCACAACTGTGATTCCTTTTTTAAAAAAAATAGATTTGTGGAAAAAAAGAAACAAAAACTATAAAAGTCTTTTAAAAATAAAGGTTCACACTTAAAGGAAATATATTTTCAGCAGAACATATTAAAAAGTATAATAAAACAAACGTATATTAGTATCAAAAATATAATAAACTAGGAAAAAATTCGTGTATAAATGACTACTGTAAACAATGCAAAAAAATCTGGAAAACTATAACAAATTACTTTTCACTTGTGCAATGCTATTTTTATCTAGTTAAAAAAATTAGCACTTTAGGGCTATTTCATCCTAGGAAAGAAACTGGCAGTTATAGACAAAAATTGCATCATTTTATTTAAATTACATAGAAAAAATTAATACAAGCGTAGCTAAATTTTTATGTGATCTTTCACGTCATACAAATGTATTTATAGTTAATAAAAGAAACTGTATAAATAACTAAATGGATGCAGTTGACACAAAGAAATTACTTTATTTTAGATATATTTATATTTAAGTGTATTACCTATAAAAAAATGCATGTTTTATTGTAAGGTAAATGAGTTTTATTTAATGGGAATTCAGAAATATTACTTTTATAAAAGTAAACTGCTGCCACAATTTAGATAAAACGGAATTCTTTATTGTTACAAACATCTGGGGAAACAGATTTATACCATATATTTTTGGAAACTATTACAACTGATGTCTCAATTACTATATTTATTACTTTCTTACTAAATTTTCAACTGAAACTTTGACGAAAACCATTTGATTGATAATTTCATAAATATACATAAAAAAAGGTATTGGTGTGAAATACAATATATTAGTTTTTTCTCCTTTTATATTTTTTTTCATCTGAATTAATATATGAAATCACATGATTTCGCTATTTTAAATATGTAATATTATTTAAATTTAGTGCAGCATAGTTGACATCAACTCTTATGTCGTTGAATTTTGCATTCAATGCAACAAGCCTGACAGTATTTGTGTGACTGTTATGGCAGGTCTTATGACAATTTTGAGTCGATTTAGTATCTCTCAAATCAATCAAGTTTTGAAAAAAAAATATTTCAATCTTATTTTCGTTGTTTTTTAACCCCTTTTAATATTCTGGTTGAGCATAAAATTTTGCATTTATAAAAATGAAATACGCGAGGAACTTTTCACAGTAAAGAAGCAGTGAAAAAATTGGTACTTCATGTGAACTATTAGTTTAATGCCAGTTCGTAATTCGATAATGAAAATTCATTTTTAATGAGAAAAAAAACTATCGATTTTAAAGTGTGAAGATTTTGTAGTGTTGTGGTGAATGTTTTTGAATCGTTAATGAAAAAAATCAATATTTATTGCACGGCATGCTCCTGAAACGAAACATAACATTATCCATTTTTGAATAAGCATATTTGCTGTTAATTATGATTTCTAGTAGACCAGAACGTAACATCCACCCATTGAATCACGTAAGCTCGCAAAAAATATACCAATGCAAACTGCTTGTAATTTGCTTACTGTTCAGAATAATTTACAGCTTTTTTATGTCTTTCAAGCATTGTTAGATGAATCAGAAGTTAGGAAAACAGAGTTGAAAATAGATGAAAGGTGGTTACACATTAAAATAATGAGGGAATCGCGTGTCTGTTAGTTTCCTGGAAAAAACAGCATAGGGAATATTTTAACACATCATATTCAAGACTAATTGAAACTAGCGCATATTTTTAAAAAAAATTTCATAATACAATAACTCAAGAAAAAATATCACCCTGAATAATGATTGAATTTATTCTAATGATCAGATTTCCAGTACTAAAGATCAGTTGTAATGGTTTAACGGTGCTTATCAATAAATACCACAGTAATAAATTAAGTTACGAAATCAGACACCAAAAATGTACTTCCTTTGAATAAAAATATCTTTTTTTCAACAGATTTTTTTTTACCTTTAAAATATGGAAAGGTAAACGCAATCTGGATAATATGGTCCCAATAGTTTAGTCGAGAGCAGTGGAAAGTTTTGTTGTGGATTGTGGCGTTGCTTATGCAGGGCCCACGCTAATGACTTTAAATTGTTAGCCGGTAAATTAGCCAAATATCAAATGTGTTAGCCAAATTTCAAAAGTCTTTGCCAAAGGCAAATCTCAAAAAATTTCTGTGATTAATTTTCTTCCCATTGAAAATTTCAAACCAAATTTTACTATAAATTTAACAATTTAATAAAATTAAAGAGTTATTTTAAAGTTGGCAAGGAGTAAATGAGTTATGAATTGGAGAAAACAGGAAAAATGTAGATGTTTCATAGTCTCAGATAAAAGGAAATTAAAATAGGTTGGGATTAATTTTCTTAAGCAACATTTGATATTTTATTAGATTTAGACTTTCTTTAAAATAAATATATTTAATTTTAAATAAAACTATTCATTATTTAATTCTTTTATCTTTTAATAAAAGAATTTTTACTGACTCGGTAATTTTTAACTGTTGTGATAGTAATCATTTAGAAAAAAAAAAAAGGATCACAGTCAAAGATAAGTTATTCGAATAATTTAAATCTGTTTTATTGTTTTTTATACTGCTCGAAGAGATTTTTTTTATCAAAACACGTTCATTGCCAGCCGAGTGTAGGTAGTTAAACTATTTCATCAAAAAGTGGTCTCTCGGGGGAGCCTGTAACCCCTAGAGAGCACGTTCCCAAGGTGGCGGATAGGGGAATGCCTCCACTGCCTTTCCAGTGGGTGGTAGAAGGGAAATAAAATATCTTCCGCGGACCAACAGGTAGAAGTCCAACCTCTCGAGGCAATGGCGAACCCCTCTATGAGGGCTGTGCTCCATGCCTTCGGTCCCATTTGAATTGTACTTTTTTTTTGTACAGACCATTTGAATTGTACAGACCAAAAGTTATTCAGTGGGATATTTACTTAGATAACTGCTCTATAATAATTCATCATATTAAACCCATCTGGGGTTTACTTTTAGCTAAAGTGTGCAAAAGTCCCGTGATTGACCTGATGATTTTTTAGCTGTTTTTCTTTAAACTTTTTTTACTTATTATTATGCAACTATGAGACGTATTATGTATATACGAGGCGCATCCAGAAAGTAAGTTTCCCTATTTTTTTAAAAAAAATAACTCATACTTTCAGGACAATGTTTATCGGCAACAAGTACAGCAATGTTTCAGCTATTTTTCAACATAGCCACAACCAGAATTAACACACTTGTCGTATCTTGGGATCAACTTTTGAATCCCTCTGTCGTAGAACTCTGCCGCCTGTGAATGGAACCATGTGGTAAAACAGTAAACGCTGACAGTTACTGTGAAACACTGTGGAAATTGCCATGTGCAATTCAAAACAAGAGGCGTAGAATGCTTAATTCAGGTGTTGTGCTCCTCCATAACAATGCTCGTCCACATACGGCTCGACGCACATCAGCTGTTTTGACGACATTTGGCTCGGAGTTGTTTGATCATCCACCCTACAGCCCTGATCTTGTTCCCAGCGATTTTCCCGTTTTCTTGCACCTCAAGAAATTCCTGTCCTCCAGTGAGAGTTTTGGAAACGACGAAGAGCTGAAGACGTCTGTCACACGCTGGTTCCATTCACAGGCGGTAGAGTTCTACGACAGAGGGATACAAAAGTTGATCCCACGATACAATGAGTGCCTAAATTCTGGTGGTAGCTATGTTAAAAAATAACTGAAACATTGCTGTACTTGTTGCCAATAGATATGTTTCTGAAAGTGTGAGTTCTTTTTTGTTAAAAAAAAATAGGGAAACTTACTTTCTGGATGCGCCTCGTATTATAATTAATGTATTAGTGTATTATTTTGTAAGTTATTGAAAAGATTTAGCATTTTTTACAAGTGATCACTGCTTGCTTTCCAAAGAATGTTCTGAATTAACAGCATGCCACAGATTTTTCAAACTGCTTTTACCCAGCTACTTCAGATCATACGTGCAGAATGATTCGTGATAGTACTATATCTGTATTTATCTTGGGTTTACTGCAGCCAGCACCCGGCTCTAGTAAGAACAATGCAATAAATCCAATCCTAAAATAAATATAAATGACATCAAATTATTACTCTAAACAATCTTAAACTTTTTAAACTATTACATGAAATCAAGAAAAAAATATAACCATCATTCTGATAAACTTTAGATAACTTGTTATAGTAGCAGGCATCGAAAGTTCAAAAAAACAGTTAAATAATCAAATTATGACTACTGACTCTAAACACTAATAAAACACTTAGAAATCTCCATTTTTTTTTTCAAAAATCATTGAATCTTCCTCCATTAATGTTTCTTCATAAATGAGCAACATAAGACTTTACTTTAAAAGATTTTAATCGTCATAAAAATACAAGATTAACTTGAACATGAAACTTTAAAAAACTGTTCTGTGAAATTGGATTTAACCGATCAAAGTAAGTTCCGCTTTGGTTTATTTAATTAAGAGGTCTATTTATGTAATTTATTATGTCTATTTAAGACTATAGTTGTTTATACAGCAAAAAGCCCATTCTGGGTCAGGGAGTCATGAAAGTTAAAGCTCCACAATTTGAGACCAACTGCGTGATTTTGACAATACGGTCAGCATCGAGCACAAGACGCTTTAACTTTTCATTCAAGCTGATACCCATCGATCTGAAACAAAATGAACTTCAAGCCGCTTCAATGCTTTTAACCATTGTGCAATCTGAAAAACCTATAAAACTATGTTTTCTACTACATGTCAGATAATTCCAATTGAAATATTTGTACGGCCATCTGAAAATTTTGTCCTCAAACTGCAGCACGTTATAGATGCAAATGATGCTTATTTTAAAAAACATTGTTTTATAGTTTTCTCTGCAAGCTGCGCCACATATCGACGAAATATAAAACTAATTATAAAACTTAATGAGAAAAAATTCTCTAGTTTCCTAAACAGTAACCAGCAGACTGCACATTTATATCTCTATTTCTCAAATCTTCGGTAATTTTTGAACACTAGATATATCAACACTGTGTAGAAAAACCTGTAACCAAATTTAAGTATTATAGTCTGTATTAAGATTTTGCAATCACAATAACAATTATTCCATGTCTACATAATTATCTCTGCTCTAAATACATATAATTTCAGGTATTCGGGATATCTTTTACTTCACTAACTGGTTTTCTTCTGAATTCTTACGGAGATAAGGAATCGAATATATTTCTCTCTGTTTCGCTGCTGGTTGGCTGCATCGTAACAGGTAAGAAAAATTTGAAAATCTATTTAATTCATGAAACTTACTCTAAGCTTAATTGAAAGCATTTATAAAATTGAATATGCATAAAGACAAGGGTTCTCAAGGGTAATATCAGGGTACTATGTGGAATGATTACCAGAAATCAAGCTCAGTAGATGAAGATAAGTGTTGAATAATAATAGCAAATGAAAACTCGATCCTATGATTAGAATTCCAACTATGTACGGCAAAGAAAGATTGTTTAATATCCAGGTTTTAGACATATCTTTCATTTTCTTTAAATCGAAATTTAAAAATAGAGGTCTAACTTGTCAATTATAGGCAAGGCCACACTGACAAGAAATTTGATAAATTGCCCAGTTACTATCAGCAATAGGATCTTGAAATTTAGTTCGTTTAAAAGATAAGAAAACGGTTTTAAAATAAATTTTTTTTTCAAAATCTTAGTTTCGGATAATAAGGTAAAACAATCGGATTGCTAAAGTTCGAATTAGAGAGTTTGTTTGATTGTGTAATTAATATTCGATGATTGGACTGAATAATGTAATAAAATCCATGTTCCATTCATTTAGTGCATTACAATTGGAATATTTTCTTCGAGATTTCTGAAATTATTAATAAGTGTTTCACTTTTCTTCATCGTGCAACGTCTCGTTGCTTTGATGTTGTTTTTTTAGACGCAGTTTGCTGAAGTTACTAAACAATTATGTAACAAGTTAGCGAAAAATTAATATTTAGCCATATATCGAACTTATTTTGCTTTTTGTTGCCTATGATTAAGATTACATGAAATGTTAAATGCATAATTTACGTAAAAGAAAACATGTTTCGAGCACTTAAATATCGCGAGAAGAATATTTTGACAACTCGATTTCACTGCACAATTGACATTTTGAACAAGACTTTTGAAAATAATTTTTTTTTCAAATACTAAAAATATCTAACTGTTGTAAAAAAAATCTAAAGAAATAAAAAATTTAAATTACTTCTCTGAATGCAGAGGATACATTATGATCATTGAGTTTGTTAGTATTAATGTTCCTTATAAGAGGAACATTTCATAAACATAAAGTTGAGCTTTACAATGTAATGATGCATTTAACTATTACTCAAAAGGGTGATCAGCCTTTCCTAAATCATCAATCATGCAATAAAATTTTTCTTTAAACATAAAAATAGTGTGTTCTAAGCGTTTGTGAATAAATTATGAAAGCACTTCAGTCAAAATATAATAAATTATAAAAGCATAGTGTGTATGGTGAAATACCACAATAGAACTCAGTTCAAGAAGTACCTGTAATCTTATTTTGAGACAATTTGCCTGTTAACGAAACATTATTCATAAGCAATTATCTTAAACCGAAAAAAAAAACACTTTTCAAGTATTAAACTGAAAACTATGGAGTTAAATAAAAAATTTTACATTTTCAGCTACAAAAGAGTTATTGCTTGTAAGTATTGCTAAAACCTTCTAATTATAAAGAGGTGATTTAAAGTCTTTTGAATCGAGCACAAGTAAAAGTTCAGAAATGGACATGCTACTTAACTCAGCGTCTAAACAAAAAATAATATCAATGCAACGAAGCGGATACGTTGCACTAAGAAAAAAAAAACTTAATAATTTTCTTCGTGAAGCAAACATAGCATAACCAGATACAGCGAATTATTTTTTTATTTAGTCTCTTGTTATAAGTTTTTCAACGACTAAGTACAAGAATTCCCAATTTTGAATGTTTTATCCTTCGTCATCCTTCCAGAAGGGAAAAAGGATGTGTTAAGTATCATGAATAGCTTTTTTATGCACTTAAAAATCTAATATTTTCGTTTGTAGTTATAAAATGTAATTTTCGAGATCTTCAAGTTACTTCCCCACTATTATCCAAAAAAATTAGAAATGGCTTCTTAAACTTATAACCACGATCTCAATTTTGAAGCATTTTTTTATATAGTAGCAATTTAAAATAAAATTTCATAACCTTTTGACTCAGAATGAACACCGGTGTCTCTGTTATATATTTTTTGTGACACTCTAATTACAAGTAAAAATTTATTTTGTTCTTTAATTATGAAAAGCAGTCTAATTGTTACTAGAAGAATTTGTTAGACCAGTGTTTCCCAAAATTATGACTTTTGTGTACCCTTTCTAACTTTTTCGTAACGCTGTGTACCACTAATAAAAAAATTTATGTATTTTTTACAATAAGAATTTGCACAAAAGTTAAAAATCACAGCTGGCTGTTGACACCACTTATTATTAACTGTTAAAAATAGCCAATAGAAAAATACTTAATCGTAAATTTTCATGGCTAGCTTTATTTTTAAATAAAATTTCTTGAAATTTTCGTTTGTTGCATAATAACGNAATTTTCGAGATCTTCAAGTTACTTCCCCACTATTATCCAAAAAAATTAGAAATGGCTTCTTAAACTTATAACCACGATCTCAATTTTGAAACATTTTTCTATATAGTAGCAATTTAAAATAAAATTCCGTAACCTTTTGACTCAGAATGGACACCGGTGTCTCTGATATATATTTTTTGTGACACTCTGATTACAAGTAAAAATTTATTTTGTTTTTTAATTATGAAAAACAGTCTAATTGTTACTAAAAGAATCTGTTAAACCAGTGTTTCCCAAACTTATGACTTTTGTGTACCCTTTCTAACTTTTTCGTAACGCTGTGTACCACTAATAAAAAAATTAATGTATTTTTTACAATAAGAATTTGCACAAAAGTTAAAAATCACAACTGGCTGCTGACACCACTTATTATTAACTGTTAAAAACAGCCAATAGAAAAATACTTAATCGTAAATTTTCATGGTTGGCTTTATTTTTAAATAAAATTTCTTGAAATTTTCGTTTGTTGCATAAGAACGCGTACCCCTGCTAAACTGTTCCCGTATCCCTGGAGATACGCGTACCACACTTTGGGAAACACTGTGTTAGACTATCGAAATTATGTTTGGATTATTGTCATTATTTTTTCATTCATTTTGAAAAACTTATAAATATTGATTTTGTGAACTAAATAAATTTCAATATGCGTTTCATGTATTTCATAACCGTAAATTATTAAAATGTTAAATGTAATATTTTTCGCTTATTTTGATTAAATTAATGAAAAATGTATGAAAATTTTGAGTTAAAGGGTTAACTTGCGATATGCGATTTTCAGGGCATATTTATAACATTTAAAAGAAAGGTGCCACCTATTTGTTAGCTCATCATATAGTTAGTTATGATAAATAAGGAAAATTTACCAAACTGCTTTTCCAAATGTTCTCTAGATTCTGGAGAACAAAAGGTCATCTTGATCCACTTAATCTATTTTATCATTTCGCTTCTGGCTTTCTTACAACAACAGACCAATCAATTAGATTCATCTAACTCTTGAACGAATATTTACTTTTCCCATCATACTTCAGAAGTTACATGATCCACCCTAAAGTATTAAAATGTACATCAATAAGCAGTATTTATTTATTTTGCGTATAAAGACCAATTGTATAATTATTAAACGAATTAAAGAACAATACATCAGCATTTTTTTACATAATATTATTGTGTATGTATGGTTAATCCCAGCTTAAGATTTACAAACTTCTCAAAGACTTGAAGATACATCTGCAGTAGGAAACATCTAGCAATGATATGTAAGAAACAGGAGCAAGGACATTTGCTTAGCAATCATTATTTTTTACTACTTCAAAGAAAGCTCACTGAATTAATGTAGAGTTCTAGAATTTCAAAGTACTTCATGGGGAGCCTTGATGGCTCATGGGATCGAACGTTCTCCTTCCACTGAGGTCACCTAGATTTGAATTCCAGCTGTGGCTGGTTAAAATGAATTTTGCTTCCGGCTCACACCGACCACAGAGCTTGACATAAAATATCCTCAGTGGTAGACGGGTCATGAGTTAGAATGCCCTTCCTGCGGACTAACCATGAGAGTTTTTCGTGGTTTTCATCTTCATGTTAGTTCCATCAAAAAATTGCAACAGTTTATCCCAACACTTGCCTTGTCTTCTGGGTTAGTTTCAAAATTACAAGGCTGCAGAGTTGAGCATTGATAGTTGTAAAATTAGAATTAGGTCTGCTGCGCCGTTGGCCGGTTACAAGCAAAGTACTTACAATCACTGTTACAAAAAGTACGAATAATCGCAGTTCACGAAAAGAAAATAACAATTTAAAAGAAAAATATTACATAAAATATAGTGGGTTTAAGAATATATAAATTTTCTTTTTTCGAATTTTTGCTTCTCTTTCTCCGAATTTAATCTTCTGCTCCGACCAGGTGGGGAAAGTTAGATTGGACATTTTTTTCAAGTAAGTGCCTAGTATGACCTGGGCATACAAAAGAAAATATCTCATCTACAAAAATGCACCAATCATTTTGGTGATAATGTTTGTACAAGCGTTTAACCTTTCAATTGATGTAAATATTAATATTATAAAATTAAATGATATTTGTAATTCTATAAATTGAGGAGTTTACGCTATGGATTGCACTCGTAATAATGGAATTAAAAAGAAAATTTTAGCTTAGTTCACTAGGAATCCGTTACAATAAGATGGCACTGATATATGTGGAATACCATCATAAAATATTATAAAACTTTTTTTGTTCTTTCAGCCTTCATAAAATCAGATCTTCGTCGCTATAAAGCATCCCAACTACCAGTGGCATCAGGCCCTTGTGATAAACTGAACCCCTGTTAATTCTGATGGGGAAAGATGAATTATTGTAGAATATAATGTATCGTAGTTGGAAAAACTCGTGAATCTCTGCAACCACAGTGAACGCCATAAGTTATCATTGACTTTGTTATGCATACTGCTCAAATTATTTATAGTCATTTCACTCGATGTTATTCGTAAGAAACTGTTCTTCCATTGATTGTTCTTCCAAGAAACAAATTTGAAAAATATATTCTTATGAACAAATATATATAATTTTTTTATTGTTGAGAAATATCAAATTTTCTAGCTATTTCAAATTTGTTAAAGTGCAATGTATATGCATACTTTTGTTATGTGAATTTTCAAGTTGCCAAAGTGCTTGTGCTACATTGTTTGTTGTGTATATGTATGCGTGGGTGTATTATATTGAATATAAAATTTGAGAGCAGCTTAATTACTGAGATGTTCTGCTTTATAACAAACATTGAATGTTTTGTTACGGTGAATTGTTGTTACAGTGTTTGGAAATACTTAGTCCTAAATAAACCTTCCGGCACTATTTTTAAGATGTATCCATCCGCATTACATTATATCCCAGTTAATCACCAGTCAATAAAACTCGGCATTGTTTGTAGATTGCAAAAAATAATTATCATTAGAAAAATCCCAGATTTGGTCAATGATAGTGCAAACAATGCCGAAAGGAAGTGTTAAATCAAATTTTTAATAATTGTGGAATCAAATTTTTCAGACTTTATAAACTACGATATTGTGCAAAACTATATAAATATGTCTACTTCTGTTTCATGTTTACATGTATAGGGTGTTTCAAAAATATCTGACTCTTATGTGAAAACAAGTAGGGACGACTATAAAATAACTTTGCCGACATATGACCATCTGTAGAGCATACCGTCTGAGTGAATGGAATTAAATTTTGTACATAGTTGAGATTTATACCCTCAACAATGTTAAAAACGACTGTGCAGCTCTCACTGTTCCAGTTACAGCGACGAAATTTTGAAATGGCAACACCCACTTTTTGGATTGAAACTTAATCCTTACCGTAAAAAAAAAACTTAAAATGGAGTTGGGACGGTATTTTCAGGACGAGAAATTGCGATACTGGGACTTTGCCAATCATCAGCATTACGAGAAGAGAGTGAGACAAAAACCTCTAAAAACCGAGAAAAAATTGCAAAGAAAGCATTTTTATGCCTTAAAATTCTTGGACAAGTCTGCCCTCACATTTTCGACTTGTCCATTGTTCCTTCTCTGTGTCTTTAAAGGATTTTATCACACTTTTTTCTTATTAGTGGTCACGAAAAATGGTGATGCTTGGCAAAGACCTAGAATCGCTACCTCTTGCACCAAATATACCGTTTCAAATCCACTTTAGGTTTTCTATTGTAAGTATTACGTTTCAATCAAACAGGTGTGTGTTGCCATTTGAAAATTGTTAACTTTTGTCACTGTAACCGTGAAGAATGCGCAATCGTTTTTAACACCATTCTTGAAAACATAAATCATAATTATGTAAAAGATTTTAATACATTCACTCAAACTGTATGCTCCCCAGAGGACCATCTGTCGACGGTTATTTTATAATCACACTGAAGATAACTCATTTTCCCAATAGAATTCGGACTCTCTAACTTAAAAGATAACCGCTAATGAGGATTTCCTTGTCACTAAATCATGTCTACTCTCAGTAAAAATCTGTTCAATATTGAACCATAATATGGTTCAAAATTATTACTATGATAAGTCGCTAAATTGAGTTATGTTTCCGTTCACTATAATTTAGTTCAACTAATAAGGTTTCAAAAAACTTAAAGAAATATCGGTTTAATATGTTTAACAACATCGAAGAAAATACCCGATGAACTCTGATATTTTCTTTTTCACTGTTACTTCTATCAACTGGGAAAATGACTTCTCTTTTGCGTACCTTCTCAATTTTGCAAAATATTTTTGAAATCCTCTGCACACTTCATAAGTGCTTTCATGAAATAAATGTATGTAATTATATATGTTTCTTTTGGTGAGTTATATTTGTTATTGCTGTTCGTTGTTTTAAATTCAGTTAAATGAAATGAAATTTATCCCTACAAGCACAGTAGGAATTCTAAAATTATTATTGAGAACAATTGCAGCTATTTTTACACTTTCCAATTCTGCTAAAAAATGGTATCTAGAGCTATATGTATTGACCATTTTAGTAAAATATATATGTAGATAAAATATTTGTATAGTTCGATGTAAAATAACAAAAAAATGTTTTTATGATAAACAAATAGTCATTTATATAAAATCAAAGTTTTATAAATTGCCTAATTAAAAAAATGATCTATTTTATCTTATTTGTTAATATATTTTTAATGATTATATGTTTGGATACAATAAATTTAAACAATATACAGATTTTTATGGCTCATCTGATCATAGAAATATTACATATGAAAAAATGTATGTTGCACTAATCCATTTAGCCAACAACTCACATTCGATAAAATTCAAGTACATGGGATATTCAAGCAACTAATCCCTCACTGAAGATAATTTAAGAAACAAATCTCTGATTGCGTGATAAAAAAAATTAAGTGATCATTAGTGACGGAGTAAGACACCTTAATTTCTTTGTGTGTCATCATCTTGGTGATCCAGTGAAATTTCTAGTCTCCTGGTTTAAAAATAATCAAACCTATCTTTTGAAATATGTTAAAGGACTTTATTTACCATATCTGCTACAATAATTTTAGGTGATAAATAGCCTTATTTTACTTAGAAAAAAAGCAGACTATTCATATGTAGATTGAAATCAAATCTATTATATAATTATAGGCTATGGAACTCCTGAAAAATTACAAAAAATGCGTGGGTGTGAACTCTATTCTTGATGTTTATTAGTAGCATTGATTCTTCTATGAGTAGTGCTTTTTTGAAAAAAATATCAAAGCTTCATAAATTATTTAATAATCATTTTCTTTACAATATTTTTCTTGAGAACTACACTTTTTGTGTCTGTACCTCCAAATAAACTGAACAATTTCATAATCTTTCAACAAAACTAATTTAAAACATCAATGAAGTACAAAAACTTATGCAAGTTTCTATGCTTGAAAAATAAATCAACAAGAAATCAAAACTCATGTCAAATATTAACTTAAAGAAGCAAGATCAAGAATGTAGAAAAGAATTGCCTTGATCTATTCTAGAACAATATTAATTTAAAAAAATATTTTGTCTTGTTAATCACTATATTAATAGAGTTAATATAAAATGCTTTGCATTTGCTTGTTTTTCTATGACAGCTTCTATTTGTTAAGTGATAGCAAATACTCCTTATGTAAATATTGTTATATGTTTAAGAATGTTTATAATTGTAAAACTCTGTTAACAAATCGTTACATCAATTAAACTATTGAAAGGAAACAATTATATCTAAATAAATGTTCGTCTAAAAATGAAATCTATAGGCACTGTGTTTAATTATTGTTAATTTCGTAGCTTATGTTTTTAAAGCTATTTAAAAAATAACTTATATTATGCATTTAAAAGCGAGGCATTTATATAAGAGCTTAGACTTGTGTGTAAAATATGTGAGATTAAATTTTGGTATAACGATTGTTCAGTTGGTTGTAGTTTCTAAGTAGCTGCATAGTGAATTGGCAGCTTTCTTACACAGTGTTTGAATTCGTAAATTTTCATTATTCAAAAATGTTTCATTTAGGTTTTTCTGCTTGTGTATTTTTATGTATTTTGTTTATGTGTTTCTTTAACCTACTTATTTTGCATAATTATGCTATTTGGTTGCTATATGTAAATTGTGAGAAACTAAGGGACTAAATACTTGGTTAACACTCAAACATGATTTTTTTAATAAGAAATCTAAGCAAAATGCATAGTTGTAATATTTTCATGGGCTTCTAACATCTTTAACTAGTTTACTTTAACGGTTAATTCTTATAACAACAACTTTCTCTAAAGCATATTCAAAATGATCATTTCGAGAAAAATGCGAATCAAGAGGTTGTTTTTTTTCTGCAAAAATTATCAAAATAACAAGTGTACTTTTAGTCAGGGTCTCGTTTACACATTCCATTTGTTACTAGCTAACTAATTTGTTACTAACTCTAAAAACTATCGTTAAATTGTCACTTTCTGCCCATTAGTTTGCACTTCTAAACATTCCTTTTAAAAGCAAAATTCATATTCGCACGTATATCTAATTTCATAAAGGACATCGCCAGCATAGAATATCACTCTAAGAAAAAATCTAATATGATGAGCGATTACGAATTTAAATTTATTCTACTACAAATTCATTATTATTTTGCAAAAACAGTATTCTTGAAAACCTATTAAGTCATGGATCCTGGGAATTATTGGTTTAACGTTAAACTACATAATATGACGCTAGTTCTACCTAGGTTCAAGTTTTTGCAACTAAGTGCTATAGAATATGCTAGTAGCTTAAATCCGTGACGAATCCTAAGCTTTAATTAATGCGTTAGTTTGCATTTTTTGAGAAAAGTTATTTTTTTCCTAATGGTAATGAAATAATTGTAAACAAGTAAAATTTTGATTCAAAAATTTCGTTGGCGCTTAGAATTTGAATCAAATTACCATCTTTAGGTTTAATAAAATTATTTATGTATGTTACCGTTAAAGTGTGCAATCCGTTATCTCATAGAATAACTAGATATTTCATAAGATAACTAGACAAGTCAGTTCTAGGTATTCTTAAAAATAACGATTACTTGATCGTAAAGTAAGAAATACGGCACTCGAAAGTTCTTTGAACCTGTTCTAGCTGCTTCTAATCTGTTTTGAACCGCTTATAGCTGTTTTGCAATGACTTGTGAGTACGCTTCATTCCATTGCTTTTAGACGTAGAATTTAGACGGTGTCATTTTAAATTGTATATTTATAAATTATATATTTATATTAAGTTATCCTCTTTTTCTTATTATTTATCAATTAATCATCCGCAATAGGAATAAAATGTATTTTTTGAGAGAATTTAACTATTTATGGTCCATTAATTTATAAAATAACTTGGAAAATTTTTTTATTTTTCACTTAGTCTATCGTTAGTTATTCATAAAACAACTGGGTAAAGTATGAAATCTTTCATCCATTCTGCACTTTATCTGACTTGTCTAGTTATTTTATGAAATACCTTGTGATTCTATGAAATAACTGAATTTATACACTTAAAATTAAAAAATTGAAAATCAAATTTATTATACAAAGAATGAAATATTAAATCAATAAAAATAAAAATTTCTGGAAAAAAAATTCAACAATTGTCAGCTACGCTACTAGTGACTGAAAAAAATAGCACTGAATCCACTATCCCTTCAGTTTTGGTCCAATTAAATTAAAAGTTAAAATAATTCACATCATAAATAAATATATGCCTAAGGCTGTGTGTATTAAACACCGTAAAACACACACTAATCGCTGTAAACCTATCATACTTCACCCTATCATGACCAAGCCCCTAGCCTCTATCCTTTAACGGTCATGTTAGGAATGCAATGCTACGTATTTCGTCCTCGGTCAGATGACGTAGACAGTGTTTGAGCTGGTACCTCTCTCTCCAAATTCCCACACTTCAATTAATGAGAGGACTTTCAGCCGCCACAAATTTAACGAACACTTTGAGGCGTATACTGCATTACAAATGAAAAAAACGTAAGTGCCTCAAAGTAGATTTCGAGAAAAGTGGCTTGAGAACTATTTTATTTCAAGTGTTAATACTAAGAACGCTGAAATAGAATTTCAAATAACTGATAAAACAAAATTTTCGAAAAAAAATTGTTTTTCAATAAGTGGCTTACCATACAGAAATGCCAAATATATAAAAATCTCAATCATGAACTTTTGTCTCTTACGTTGATTTTTCTTTTGCACGGCAGTACACAAGGCCGTTGATTTGTCGGTTATCAGGATCGAACTCGCGACACCCAGATCACGATTAGCTGTGTGTTTGACGTTTTTGAACATCTGCGCCATCGGAGCGCGGGAAAACCCATAATTTCAAATTCAGAAAATATTTAATCACTCCAGGCTTAAAAAATTAAGCACAGGCTTCCCACAGAAGAACACAGAAATTAAAATCTATTTAAATATAAAATGTCAAGTAAATATGAATTATTCATCTAATGAAAAATTTGCCTGTTTTTGTAAACATAAGATTTTTAATTTTTCATTAAAATATACATGGTTTAAATTTCGATTAATCTTCATCACTACGTTATACAAAACTGAAACAGATTTATGTTTGAATGGTTGAAAAGTAAAATCGTTATAATAATTAAAAGTGCAAATTAATTTCGATATATGAAAATTATGTTGGGGTACATAGAAAATACTTCCTAAAGTACATTTTTATATTTAACTTGCTTTTATTTATCCTTTCTGAGCTTCACAGGGTTTGATGCTGTAGCTTTTCACATGCAGCTCATTTGTGAGTTTGCTAAAATCAGATCTTAGTAGGTTGGAAAAAATTGTAAGGCACCAATTTTTTTAAATTTTTTCGTTTACAATGGTTTCTATAAACTTTTAAAATCATCGATCATTAAATTTTGATCTATGCTAACAATTTATTTTGAATGTTTAGTGCTGATACACGTGTTTAAATCTTTTACAAAAAAAAAATATGATAAATACTGTATGATATATAATATATGATAATATAATACATGATATTGATGATACATAATATGTGATATAAAATGAATGATATGATAAAATAATGAATGAATTACATGAAAAAATAATGAATTAAGATAGTAACATTACAAGTGTTTATAAAAAAATTGTTTCATTTGCAGAAAGCAAAATTATCTAATGTGAATTACATGTTTGCCCAAAACAAGTATTTGTTAATTTATAACATCAAATGCAAATAATGCAACAAAAAAAGCTTTAAAAAATACTATAAACTTTATAAAGCATAAGTCTTTATAAAGAGAATGCTAATTAATGCCTTAATTTCATCAGTTGTCATTTAAATAAATGAGGTCATGTAACGCACTGTAAGCATGAATGCACTACTTACTCAGCATGATAGTATTATTTTTTAAGCTTGTAGATTTTCGCTGTGGGCACTATATATCTTCATAATATCTTTGGACTTCCAGTTGAATAGAATAAAAATAAGTTTCATAATTCTAAAAAAAAGAGAAAAAAAATTTCAAAATATGAAAAAATATTTTTATATTCTAAAGAGTCAAATTTTTATGCATATTTCCCCTCTCTTTTATTTAATTTATTTTCAAAATTTTTAGTGTTATAGTATTTATATTAGATTTTTCTTTTAATTTAATAGTACAACTTATCCCATTTGCAGACTGCTGTGAAACTAAAAAATTTTTAAAAGTTTTTTTCGTTCAAAAATTTTAAATTTTTCGGTTATAAAAAAATTGTAATGTTTTCACTGCCAGATTGGCGAGATTCAAGAAAACTGCTCATTAAATTATTTCTAGAGGTTTTTCTAGGAAATATTTTTTCTTTCGTAAAGTGTTCTAGAATAAAACATTTTTTAATGAATAATGATTTTTAGAATAAATTTTATCATTTTATCAATATTATTCCGTTTCCTCGGAGATTATGTAGTGTTCTTTTTGTACAATATGTCATAAAATAACCTATTTATATTTTTAATTAGTTTTGTAACAATCTTATGAAATTAGACTCATTTTTATAATATCCTTTTTCTACACTAAGAAAAGTATGGTCAAAACTACAAAGATATGATAAAATTTACCGTGTTTCTGACTCTATGGTAACACTAAAAAGCTCGGTAATTTTTACCGAAAAGCTTTGGTAATAATTTTTAAAAAATTATTTTGTTTAATATGATTTATAGTATGTGATAAAATGTGGTAAATGAGAAATAATTTGGCAATTTTATCGTGATACCTCAGAGCATGACAAAAAATCATTTATTCGGTTAAATTAACTTTTCAGCTTTGTATTTCTACTAAATGTGTGTCAATAAGAACTATAATTTTCAAAACCAGAATTTCCGGAAAACTTTACCATCTGAACAAAAAAATTACGAAATGAATGGTTTAAATACCGTACATTTCAGTTTTTATTACCAGAATTATGTGTTTTTTTTTAACAGAAATGCCATTACCACACAGTACGGTAATTTTACCAGAATTTTTTTCTCCGTGTGGGGATGAACAGATTTACGAAGTTATAAGCAGTGATAGGATACAGATAATATTCGCTTTGGTTTTTTAAATTTCTGAAGTTCTGCGTAATGCTTCTTAAAATTTCATGAGTTTTGAACCAGTCTTAAAAAAAACTAAAAATTATTTGAAAAGCTGAAATCACACGCATTCTGAGAAAACTTATTTAATTGATAGTTGGTTTATCTTATGAAAAAAAATTCCAATCACTGTTTCATAGATTTTTCTTATTATTTAAATCAATTTTAATTTATTCTGATTAAGTTTGCTGTGCTTACCGGTTCTTCTGCAAGAAATATATAAAATATTTATTAAAAAGATACTCTGGAAACTTTAAATCTCAAATGAGTCTAAACCGTCAAAATTGTAAGAAAACTTGTTAAATTCCGAAATGAATGTTTTTCTTGCATTAAACTTTTTCTTTGTAACAAATCGGGGGCATTATTTAATTGTTCGGGCTCTTGAAATTTTTAAATCCTATCACTGGTTATAAGTCTCTTTTTAATCATGAATTACAGCATCTCGAGTTTATAGAAACTTTTCAAAACCATTTAGAAGATAACGAAAATTTCTTTCCTAAACTAGTATATAACTTTACATGTATGAATAAAACATTTTATCTTTTTATAGATTTTTAACATTGTTTAAGGAAAAAGAGTTTATAGAAACATGTACTTCAAAATATTAAAACTTTTTAGAAAATATATATTGAAATATATAATTTGTTATGTAGATAAATATTTATTAATGTATCTGCATTTGCCATTTCACAAAATGTCTTCCATTTTCATTAGAAAAGTAATGTTTAGCTGTTCAAATTTGAAATAAATTTACCGCTTGAATAAAATGTGTACTGATTATTTATAAATTTTGCACATTAGATACCAATCACTATTACCGAAATATAATCTGTTGGTTATGATAAGTACTCAGTATATGAAAGTATAAATTTTCCCATTTGTTGGCGATAGAAGATTGTTCAGACAGTGAATTGTTGGATATTTCCCCTTTTTATTTACAGGGAAACACTCTCTGATAACATGCCCAAAAAGCATGATACTATCAAGTGGGGTAACTTTGGTCTTTGTAAATAACTTCTGCACAACAAACGAAAAAAGATTAATTGGGCTGTATCAAGACAAAGTAGAGTGATTTTCAGTCCTTTTTTGCTACTACTGATCTTTGCAATAAGTAATTGATAATCACTCTTCTTAATATAGATACAGTATACGTAACTTTTTTATAGTTGCTTGGTCAAAGTTACACCAGTTGTTGATAATTTAGGTCAAGATTATTGATAAGAAAAATAATAAAAACAAAATTCGTAATTTATTGATTTATAGTGATACAGGGAAACACTCTCTGATGACATGCTCAAAAAGCATGATACTATCAAGTGGGGTAACATTGGTCTTTGCAAGTAACTTCTGCACAACAAACGAAAAAAGATTAATTGGGCTGTATCAAGGCAAAGTAGAGTGATTTTCAGTCCCTTTTTGCTTTTTTGATCTTAGCAATAAGTAATTGATAATCACTCTTCTTAATATAGATACAGTATACGTAATTTTTTTTTATTGTTGTTTGGTCAAAGTTACACCAGTTGCCGGTAATTTAGGTCAAGATTATCATTAAAAAATAATAAATACAAAATTCGTAATTTATAGATTTATAGTGATACAGGGAAACACTCTCTGATGACATGCTCCAAAAGCATGATACTATCAAGTGGGGTAACTTTGGTCTTTGCAAGTAAATTTGGTACAACAAACGAAAAAAGATTAATTGGCCTGTATCAAGACAAAGTAGAATGATTTTCAGTCCTTTTTTGCTACTACTGATCTTTGAAATAAGTAATTGATAATCACTCTTCTTAATATAGATACGTAATTTCTTTCATAGCTGTTTGGTCAAAGTTACACCAGTTGACGGTAATTTAGGTCAAGATTACTAATAAAAAATAATAGAAATAAAATTCGCAATTTATAGATTTATAGTGATCCCAAGAATTAATATGAAAAAAAGATTTAAAAATAAGACCAATTTAAAATAATACTCCACGTTTTTTAACAAATTAACAATGCTCTCAACTTTAGAATAGTTCATTCAGCGATGACGCGTGTTTTTTAACGCTATATTTTTATAACGGTTTACGAGTAACTCGCCTCCAAGTGTTTATGCAATAGGCTACAATATTTCGCTTAAACTCAGAAATAACCTCTTAATAAAATTTCAATAAGAGTATCACTTTTTAAATTATGGACATCATGCTTTTAACTTACGAAGCAAAAGAAACATTGATTTCTAAGAGTTTTCTGCTAGTTAGATACATTTAATACAAATATCACAACCACAAAAATCTAGTTAGATACAACAAATACAATAATCACAACCTTATGCCGAAAGAGTAAACAACAATGATTGTTCTTTTAAGAGAAGAAGAGACACGTTAATCACTTTTGACAATTATGCGCTCTCATTTTGTATATAATTTAATACTTCTATCTTCAAGAGTACTAAAAACATGCCACATCATACATGACAACATATTTTTTTTGTATGATAAGCATCAAATCATCATTGTCAAGCTTAAATTAACTCTTGTTTAATTCTTTCATGTGTAGATGCATAAGTAGGTCAGTGACTATATCTTCTGTGTAACGCCACCAGAAGACAACTAATGGGTTGTTTGAAAAGCAAATTAGATTTTTTATTTACGAAAACAATGTAATGAAACATGTAAACTATATTGGATACAGAAATCCTGATTTTTGTTTTAAAATGTAAAAATAACGATCTACTCTCCGAAAAGCATCTCCAATTTTGTTTTATTGGCAAGAAATTACCAGACAAAACTTACTGTTACACCTCTCATAAAAATGCACTGAATATAGTTTAATAGTACTAAAATATAGCTGTGTGCTAACTAAATTAAATTGCAAAGAAGATTGAGCATTGAAAGATTAATGAAAATTAGGGTATAAGATTTTTCAGGTCATCTGCATCGTGACCAGAAAGCACTCGTTAAGCTCGAGCTCGAACTGAAGTTATTTGTAAAATGTTTACTTGAATATTGACAAACTATTATTAGTGTTTGATGTTAAACTAATATAGTATTGGTAATTATTAAACCCATACTAAACTATAATTTGCTCATATTTTTTTTCCATAATATATTTTATAGTAATATATTCTATAACCAGCTTCGAACAGCCTGCCCGATTCTGAGTTTACGACTCTCAATGTTCAACTCCGTATCCTTGTAATTTTGGACCCAACACAGAAAACAAGTGA